CTCTCTCGAAGAACTTGATGTTTCGGACAACAAGATCAATCAGGTTGAGGGCATCCCCTACACCATGCGGCGACTACAAGTACAGAACAACTGCCTGAACGGACTCACTTCCTGGACGACCCTCGTCAACCTTCAGCACCTTGACATTTCCGGCAACGACGTCGATAGGCTTGATGGTCTCGCTGAGCTTGTGCATCTCCGCATACTCAAGGCCGACAACAACAAGATCAAATCCCTCCAAGGCATCCTACACCTCGATGGTCTGATGGAGTTGAGTGTTCGTGGTAACGAGATCGACATGGTTGACTTCACCCGAACGAATCTGTAAGCATATGAACTTGAACATTCCTTGTTCCCTGCTAATCCGTGCGATAGAAAATCTCTCACAGACCTGGATATGCGCAAGAATCGTTTGGTTGAAGTGCGGAATCTGCATTGCATACCTCAGCTTCAGCATCTCAACCTTGGTATGTCTTTCCTTGCTATACTCATTGGACCAATACTGACTCTCAGAAGATGACAACGAAATCGAGGAGTTTCCCCTTCTTGATGGACCTCTGAAGCCATGCAGATTCCTGCGCTCGATTCGTATGTGCCGAAACGGAACAACACTCCTCGACGTCGACCAGTACTTCCCCAAGCTTGAATCTCTCTACGTCGACGGAAACTGCCTGACGCAAGTATCTGGACTAGAACATCTCCGCCACCTCCGCACCTTCTCCGCGCGCGAACAAATCCTAAACTCGGAATCCGACATGGAAATGTGCGCAAGCAACCTAGTCCGAAACACCGAAGTCCGCAACCTCTATCTCTCCCTCAACCCAACCTACGGCCTGCAAATCTCTTCCCACCTACTAAGTCTGCAACGCCTAGAACTAGCCTCCATGGGCCTAAAAGAACTCCCCGACAACTTCGGCCAGCTAACCCCCAACATCCGCTCCATAAACCTCAACTTCAACTCACTCACCGACCTCCGCCCCCTCCTCAACATCAAGCGCCTCAGCACCCTCCTCCTCGCCGGCAACAAACTGGAGCGCCTCCGCGCCAACGCCATGGTTCTCGGCAAGCTCCCCACCCTCTCCACCCTCGACTGGCGCGACAACCCCCTCACCCTCCGCTTCTACGCCCCCACCTGCGAAAACCGCATCCTGTCTCTCCGGCAGAAACCCTCCGACGAGCAACTCACCAACCGCTTTGTATTGCCTGAGGGCGAAGTCGAAGCCGATGTTCAGCACTTGCAGCGATTGGACTATGAGACCCGGATTAGGCGTCGGGTTACTGAGATGATGTTGGCGAATCTTTGTAGGAGTCTGAGGGAGTTGGATGGGCTGCCGTTTGATAAGACGAGGGTGCTTGTTAAGGATGATGTTTGGGAGAGACTGTTGTTTTTGGGCGTTATTCAGAGGAAGAGGGCGGATACGGCGGTTGATGAGGGGAAGTAGGGTGGTTGTATGCATGGAGTAGAATGCATGAGCTTGGAGTCGCGGGGACCTGGGAGGGAGGTCTGGGAATTGGCGCACGTTTTGCATAGCGTTTTGGCATGGCGTTTTGCATGATCATTTCAGAGCGGTCGGTCTCATTGTTTCTCGTTCGCGAAGCATTTATACTTGAGCATCTTCTAGGCGTAGGTATATATTCTTGGACCTCGCACGCTTCACTGTGGGAAAGCGAGGATTAGATCTTTTAATGACGGGATGAGGTGCATTTGGTAATCGAGAATAGTCTTTGCATACTACCTTCTGGACGCAATTTGATGCAGTGACGACACCTTGACATTCATAGCCCTAAGTACCACTCACAGTCATCATTGCAAGCGAATCATGACGATACGAGCACTTTGACATAGCTGCTGAAAGCTCTAGGGCTGAACTCATCAAAGCTATTACAATCATCCTGTATACCAGAGTACGATCTCAAAGACTAAGCCTAACCTAGGACCAGACCGCAGTCTGAGTCAAAGGCGCACTCTATTACTTCTTTCCAGGGCTGAACTTGGAAGGGATGATCAACCTCCCCGCGCTCCACTAAACAGCTCCGCAGAGGCCCGTGCGTCGTCCATCAAATCGATCCAGGCCCCGTGACACGTGGGCATCCATGAACTCCAAAGGTCATCACGTTAGAGTGACCTTTGTTCATCATACAATCAACAATGGCATCCTCATCTGAAGAAGACAGAGCGGTGCAACTTGCCGAGAAGGCGAATGAAAGCACAAAGTCGGGCGATTTAACCGTTGCAGCTCGGTACCTGCGTGAAGCTAGTACGATCGCACCCGAGCATCCGCGGATCAAAGAGGCATGGGTTGCACTGAAAGAAGAGGAGGGAAAAAGCGAACTACTAGGCCACTGTCGAACCTGGGTCCGCAGCAAAGACGAGCACGATGGCGAAAAGGCACTCAAAGCGATCCGGACCCATGGCCTGAAGCAGGACGAAGCAGAACAAGCAATGGCCATCCTCTTCGACTTCAAAGGCGAAGACGACATCCTCGACCAGGTCTCAGGCGAACTACTCCAGAACCCCGGAGCCCAGATGTGGGTCGCCAAAGCCATCCGCGAGCAGCCGACACGCATCTACTACGAGATGTTCGAGCGGGGCGACGACTCCATCGACGGCTTACTCAAAGTCTGTCTCAACCGGGCGGTTTGGCCCGACGACGAATCTTTCAAGACGGGGCATAGAGATATCTTCATGCTCAGTTTGGCGATGATGATGGAGGAGGCGCTTGAGCATCCTGAGCGTGCGATGAAGGGGATCGCGCAGCTGCTTGCTCATTACGCGGAGCATCTCAAAGGGATTATTGATGCGGATAGTTTCGATGTCATCCTCACTTCGCTCGATATTCGTCTGCCTGCTAGTCTGCGTAGTCAGGCTACTCTTGCGAGTATCAAGTTGTTTGAGCTTGCGCCGGAGACTGCTAGCGAGTTGATCTCGAAGTTTGTTACGCATCGGACGAAGAAAGGGGAAGCGAATGATTTGGTCATCGCATTTTCGGCGGCTGCGGCTATCTTCCCCGTCGCTGTTACGGCTGCTGCTGCGCTCTTCCTCACGGATGGCTTTGTCAGCACGTTGGTGTCAAGAGTCCAGAGCAAGAAGTCGCACAACCTTGAGCAGGCCACTCTAGAGTTAATCAGCGCTGCCTGTGTCGACAAGAACTGTCGAGAGGCGATCAGCAAAAACTGCCGAGAATGGCTGGAGGACGTGGTCGCAGAAAGCCAGAACAAGAAGCGTGCCAACTTAGCCGCGCTTGTCCTCGTCAAGCTAGGCGAAGAGCAACCGTCAGAGGATGCACCAAGAATCGTGAGGGCAGAGAAGGTAGACCAAAGCGACCTAATCGCCAGCTTCAAGTCAATGGTCATAGGAGGCGACACATCCTCAAAGCAAGACTCAGTCGAAGGACTCGCCTACGCCTCGCTCCAACCCAAAGTACGAGAAGATCTCTCCAAGTCACCAAAGTTTCTCAAACGCCTCATCGAGACCATGAGCGACCCCTCCTCACCCAAGAACATTGTGTTCGGTGGCCTGACCATCTTCGTCAACATCACACAATACCTGCCCCTACAATCCGAAGAGGAAAAGCGCATGGCACAACTCAAAGCCTACGCCAACGTGCAAAAGCCATCGACCCCGCACGTTCTCCTCAACGACGAAGACGTCGCCATACGCTGCAAGCGCGTACTAGACGCCGGCGTTGTCCCTCTGCTGGTGCAAGTCTGCAAAAAGGGCTCCCCATCCATCCTCACCCAAAGCAGTCTAATCCTACTCTCCCTCTCCAAAGACACCAAATCGCGCGGCACAATGGCACAACAAGGCGCGGTCAAACTGCTCATCCAGATCTACGACCACATCTCCTCGACCAACGACCTCTCAACAACCGGCACCACGCCCTTCCCTCCCGCCGCCCTCCCCACCACAGCCCAAGCCCTCTCCCGGCTCTTGATAAGCATAAACCCGTCCCACGCTTTCAACGCCGCACTACCCAGCGCATCCGCCATCCGCCCCCTCCTCAGCCAACTCACACGGACTGAGTCTACGTCTTGGCAACTGCATGCCTTTGAAGCGCTCCTCGCACTCACGAACCTCGCTTCTCTGGATAGGAATACACAGGACCATATCATCCGCCAATCTTTCGATACGGTTGTGGACGATTTGTTACTTAGTTCCAACACGATGATTCGGCGTGCGGCTACGGAATTGCTGTGTAACCTCATGGCTTCTCCTGTTTGCATCTCCAACTTCGCAGATGGCTCACCAAGGGCGAAACATAGACTTCATCTCCTCCTCGCTATGACGGATGTCGATGACGCCGCGACACGATCAGCGGCTGGAGGTGCGCTGGCGATGTTGCTGAGTGTGGATCTTGCGGTTGTCGAGTTCCTCAAGCAGGATAAGAGTGTGGAGTGGCTTGTGGGCTTGTGCAAGGATGACGATGAGGGGATTAGGTATCGGGGGATTGTTTGTCTAAGGAGTGTGGTGGATGTCAAAGAGGGGGTAGAGGTTTGTAAGAAGAAGGGTGTGGTGGAAGAGTTGAAGGGGGTGTTGCAGGGGAGTAGGAGTCAGGAGGTGCTGGGCGTGGGGGTCGAGACTATGAAGATATTGTTGGGGCAGTAGGTTGGGGTGTGTGATGGATGGATGTGATGACTTGAAAAGTATTTAGCTCTCTCTTGTCATTGAAAAAGCCCCTCGCGCCGCGCGGATACATTGAGTCTTGTCGCATCAAAACGCTCATTGAACGGCGAGACACGTTGTTTTAGTCGCTTGTATTGCGATGACTGTGAGTGGCTAGTCATCCAAGGGTCCTCACTGATGCGTACCATGGTCGCTTCTAGTTTTCAGTCATGCTTGCTCCGCGAACCAGGTATTTCTTCGCAAGTTGCGCCTATGTGACTCATGGTATATTGCTACCACCTTCGTTTTATTCTGAGCTGTTCCAACGCATAATCCATTGAATACCTCTCGCCCGCCAACAAACCCCCCCATGATGGCCCACCAACGAGAGCCCAGAATGGCAAAGATAAACAAGAAACAGAAGCAGCGGATTCAGGCGCAAGAAGAAGAGCTAAGCCTTGAGACAGAGCAAGAGTCAAAAGCGCCGGGAACACCGCAGTACGACACAGCAAGCGACTCAGAATCATCAGAAACGGTTAGGTATGCGCCTACAAGCATTCTAAAGCTTGATAGCTTTGCATCACCAGCTACCACCAAGCTTCGAAGGAAGATGTGGCTATCTTTGACTGCTCATGTCGAGCTTAGCAAGTTACTAGCGGCTGCAAAGAGTTCGAGCGATCATCATTTCGATACATGGTCAAATCCGAAGACTTTGAGAAGAGACCCAGAAATAACACAAGACGAATGGGAGAAAGTAATCGAGCAACAGTACCAAACCTGGCATAACGATATCACCACAAAGCTCAGTGCGGAAATCGACGCGCACCATTGTACCATCCGCCAGTGGCAAATAACCGAGGAGCACGGTAGTATGCAAAAGTCGGAAACGCTGCGTTTGATAATGCATGCCGAGACAACTACAGCCCGCCTCCGCAAGCTGCTCGTCATACTGCGAGACTTCAAGAATCAGATGAAAGGAGAGTACGTCGATGCTCACCAACAGACCGACGTCACCGATGTTTCATACATTGGCTCCATAACCCAGCGCTTAGTTGAGCCCTACCAATCACCCCAAGTCCACAAAGCATGGTACAAAGGTCCCGACGGCCGCGATCTCAATGCGTCGGAGAGGTTTAAGAAAGATGCCATCGACTACTATAGTAGATTTGCTGATGATTCAATTTTGTGGTGCCCTGTCGCACGAGGATACTCGGGTGAGGACGAGCTCCAGGCCGTCCATCTAGTGCACTACAACACCGGAGAACGCGCCTGCGAATACCTTTTCGGCAAGGCAGCCAACCACCAGGGCCACTTGATGGACCCGTCGAATAGCCTCGTGCTACCCGAAACATTCAAAGACGCCCTCGACAGGGGTCAAATGATCATCGTTCCTGCTTGTCTCGGTGACATCGACCCGGAATCCGGGAAGATAGTAGATGAATCCGACATAGAGCCGTACAAACTACGACTGCTGGATCTATCCTGGAAGAAGAGTCCATCGGGTGAAGACAGCAGCCGCTGTCAAGCGCGCGATTACCCGATCGATGGACGCATCTTGAAATTCAAAACCGATACCCGGCCAAAGAAGATGTACTTGTGGTATCGTGCGCTCACAACAATCGCAATGCGATAGCGGTGTAAAGTACCGGGCTGGGAACACGATGTCGAAGCTCTAGGCCACGGTACATGGACTTCACCCGGTGAATCACTCCGGCGATCCACCATGACTGCGATTATGAAGCATGTTGGCTTCATCGACGACCCTGAGCCCATCTCAATGCTTGGATCTACATTAGAGGGAGACCCCACAGAAACTCCGTACGACAAGATGATCGCCGATCGCGTGGCCATGATACTCGATACAACGCATACAAACTGGCTTAAATCCCGTCGCAGCGCTTTTGCGCGCATGCACGCAGGCAAGAAGGTGGAGATTGATTGGGAGGACGAGGATCAACATGAAAAATTCGCGTCGTGGGAGAGATGTGTTGATTATTATCGCCGACATTGAATTAGCGTAACAGCGTAGTCGTTAGTGTTGAATAGGGCTTCTTTCCACCTCGTCCGAATTCGAGAGAGAAGGAATTTATCCAAAGAGGGCTTCCTCATGGACTTTCTCATCGTGTGATACGAACAGAACATTCTGCTTACAGCAACTACGCATGGCAAAGGGGCATTAGATGTGCGCAAGAGCGATACTGACACATTCTGCAAGAAATGACAAGCAACCCATCACGACACTCAACTATAAACACGTCGCTGCTTTCAGTCTGAATTAAACGAATACTACTTCAAACTCCTGCCAAATTGCGTAAAAAACGGGGTATAACTTCTAAAAGATGCCAACAAACACATACTCCGATACCGCAATGCCGACAGACTCCCTGTGAATGCGCGCCTTGCCCATTCTCCTCCCACCATCTCAACCCAAAACCAGAACCTCATCCTTACGTCGCACCCCCAACAGCAATCTTCTTCTTCACGGCCCTCATCTCCCTAACCGTGCCCTCCTTCCCCAGCCCCCTCCCCACCTCAACAACAATCATCCTAACAAAATCCTTACTAAGCCAATAACTGCTATGTGCACCCAGCATAGTCAAATACTGTATCTCCAGCGGCCCACCACCGTACTTCATGTAGTAGTCGATCTGACCATTATCGTTAAGCAGATACGCTCTCTTCTCCGCAATCTCCTCGCGCGTGAAATTGTGCGTTTCAAGCTCGACGTTGCTGGGTAGACGGATAGTGGTGGGTCTGTCGTTTGCGGCGTTGTTGGCGGAGGAGGTGGACGAGCGGAAGGGGTTAAGCGAGGCGAAGTAGGAGGTTGAGGCGGAGGGGATGGTGGTTTGTTTGAGCATTGAGGCGTAGACGACGTCGACGGTGGGGTTTATGCGGCAGGCGACGGGGTCGTAGGGGTTGATGATGTTGTAGATGTTGTCGACAGCCAGGCAGCCATATGTGCCTTGCTCGCCGGCGATACCGGGGGCCGCGTAGGAGTCGGCGCCGGGTTTCTCTTTGTCGCGACGAGGGAGTAGGTTTGCGTTCTTCATGAGGAGGAAGAGGCCGACGGGGCTGCCGCAGACGAAGAGATCGGTTGTGTTGAAGATGAATTGGTCTTGGGGTAGGTCGGCTTCGGGGAAGGATGGGTCGGTGTATTGCGGATCGACATAGGTTGGCTGTTGGCTGAGGATGTCGATGGCCATCACCGAGCCGAGCGAGTGGGCGATCAAGTGCACACGGCCGTACTCTGCGAACCCAGGGTTGTTCTGGCACCACAGACGGTAGATGCGGTTCGCTTCTGTTATGCAAGCTGATATCATCTTGGGGTTGTGCATCGGCGAGAGGTAGTATGGGATGTCGAGCATGACATCGCTAACAATGCCACGTACCGAGGGGAGCGTATCGGGTGTGATGTCTTTGAGTGTGTATTTGTTCGCAGATGGGTCTTCAAGCTCGGGAGCCTCGGTGTTATCGACGTCGAGAGATACGCGGTGTCGCCAGTTGACCTGCCTTGTGTTAGTATATTGATCGAGAATTACTGCGACGGTGACTTACTGGCAGACACATGACACCCCCCATATCCTTCCGTAGATGCCGCTTGACATCCGGAGTCCCAAGCTCGACGTTCATCTCTCTTCGAAAGGCGTTCATCGCGTGCGTGAAATGAAACGTCTCCATTCGTTCTGACAGCTTTTGCCCAATACCATGTATGACCAACACCAGGTCTGACACCTTCGGTCGTTCTGACTGTGCGAGGTCAGGGTCCGACTTCTGCCTTCGATACTGTGGCGCGCCACCTTGCGATGACGAGACACCTTCGCGTGCTGCTTGTGCCTTTGGCGAATTCTTGTTCGGGTGTAGCTTGTCCCAGACGGCCTGGTCGAAGCCGCGCACTACGTGCACGCCGATCGCTCTGCCCTTGCGGATGTAGTTCGCTAGTGGTCGCCGCCCGTAGTAGTCTGATGGTTGGAGTGCTGGCTTGAGGATGAAGGCTTCCTTGTCGTTAGAGTATATCACACCCGCTTTCAGGTACAGGCGCTTCCTTCCGTCGGCACCGTATTCCAGATCTCCCGCTGCTTTGTGGTCTGGCCCCTCTGGACCTGTGGAGATATCGATCAAGTCGCAGGCATTCTCTACGGTTTCTTTGCGCTCCTTCTCCGGGTCATCGTCCTCTTCAGGGAGGGTACTCTGAACGAGACCTGCTGTTTGCATCATCTGCTGCGAAGTCGACGGCCTGCTCTCTGCTCTCTTCGGCCGCTCGGGCCAAAGGTGGTGTAGTATCTTCATCTCACCAAATGCACCGACTTCGACAGCACTGTTGAGCTCGTCCGTCCATGTCTGCGTCCAAGGTCTCAGTTCGATGTACCCAGCTTCGAGCATGTTGGCGACTTCCACCTCGACAGGCATCATGCTGTCTTTGTAGAACCACGTTCCTCGCACTATCTGGGCGACGTCGCTGAGCGGCGACCAGTATATAGGCTCCATCCGTATTGACTCTGTGTCCATGACTACGTGATGCAGTCTTGAGACTCCCACGGGCACCTTCGCGGATGGCCCCGGTTTCGGCTTGGAGGATTTTCGCGCGGGCGCCTTGTCTTTGGCCGTCGACAGAGCAGGTTCCATGTCGTCATCCCACTTGTAGCTGTCCACTTCGTGTATAGTCGGCCGATGGCCTCCCTCCATAGGCGCAGGCTTCCACGACTTGGCCAGATTCCCTCTCGATGGGGCTCGGATGAACGGGGTGCCGGTCGTCGCAGGCTCGAGGGGCGATATTGGGCCGGGGTCGTAGGCCTTCAGCGAGCCAGACATGGACTGGCCGTAGCTGCCACCACCGGAGCCGGGTGTCTTCTTGTCCACCAGCTCGGCAGACCTCGAGTACTGCCCTCTGCTCGATGACCGCCCAGACGGAATGTCTCGTCCCTGGATCGAGCCTTCCTCGCTCGAGGCACTAGCGCCTCTCTTCCTCTTCAGCCGCTCCACCGCCGGGTTGGTCGGCGTACCGCGTCCCGTCGCATCTTTCTCCCCAAACTCCTCGGTGTGCTTCAAGATCTTCTTCCGCAGCTCCAGCCACGACTCCTGGATGGCTTCGTTGTCGTATTCGGAGAAGGGCCGCGGTGGCACTCTCTTCGCAGTCGACGTGCCCGTGGGCGGCGGCGGGAGCGGAGACAGCGGGTCGTCTATAGCGAGCGGCGACGTGTAGAAGTAGCGGACGGGGATCGTGGGCGGGGCTTCGGTGTTGTGCAGAACCTCACGAACGTACTGGTTCGCGCGAGACGATAGTGTGGGCTCGTTGCCTGCCATGACGTCTGGCGTGGTTTGGTGTGGGCGTGAGCTGCAACTTTTAAGAGAAGCAGTCGTGGAAGAATCGCATCATATCATGGTGCTAGCGTGTGTTCTTTCCCTCACGTGTTCATGTGAAGAAGACAGCTGGCATGGACGCGGTGGCAGCCTGAGGATGGATGTTGTTCCTTGTTGTTCTAGGGCGGTATATTTCCGATCACCATTCGGAGCACTGACGCAACCGCCGCGCTAAAACCGACGCGTGCCTCGACATGTGAACAGCCCTCCGTCAGCCGCCTCACCCACCAAACTTATACACTGAACATCCACGTTTGCGCGAAATTGCGCCGAACCATCCGAAGTGGCATGTGCTCTGAGTTGTGCACGCAAGGTCTATACCGTTATTTCACAATGCCAACGATTCATGGTCATCGACTTACCTCACACATCGTGACCTTACCTGGACATTGGACATGGCACCACATAAGTATTTTCAAGCAAACATTCTCACTAACTCTCTAAGCAAACCATTACATTCACAGCAGTCTGAGCCAAAACCCGCACAGCAATACCACCATGTCATCCACCACTACCATGACCATATCATCAAGAAAGGTACGCAACCAGCGTAACACGCTGTGCGTGTATACCCCCAAACGGCTACCATCGCATCAACCCTTCATAAGCAGCTTCGTGGATTCACCAAGAAAGCTGGGCACCACGCTGTGCGTGTCTACTCCCACACCGCTACCATCTCCCCATCCCTTGGTAAGCGCCTTCGACGAACCATCAAGAAAACTGGGCACATACGCTCCAAAACCATCACCACCACCATCTCCCGGACCTCTAGTAGGCGTCCTCGACGAGCTCACCGAATTCTACGATGGCCAAATCGCAGCGTGGGAAGCCAAATGTAATGAACAACAAGCCTGGCTGGACCAGGCTTCCAAACTCATCGCCGAGTACGAAGAAGAAAGAATTGCTGGGATGGAGCATATCGGCTTCCTGACCAAGTGTCTGTACGCGAACGAAAGAGCCCTGACGCAGTGTTTGTACGCTATGACGCTAATAGTAACGGTACTGCTGGTACGCTGAAACTACCAAGTAGAGAAAATGTCCGAAGGGAGAAGATATCCAAAGTCACTACTGCTGTTACCGTTAGGCAAGACCTCAAGCCGAGACAAGCCATAAAAACGGAATACCACGTTGACGGTTAGCAAGGAACTACCTATACACGCTGCCGGAGACGACGCGCTTGTTCTCTGTGGTACCGCCAAAGGGGCCAAGCATTGCGAAAACGCGCATACAGCAGAGGTACATCTCGGCCACCGGCTTGTGGATGAGCTGAGATCACGACAGGTTCGTGACCAGCTCCGAGACACGATTGTCGTGGTCTTCGAGACTAAGGCTGTAGAAGGGGAAAGGTGATGACCAGGAGACGAGGTCTCGGGTGAAAGAAATCCAGTCTGATGGTACATGGGCGGGCCCATATATGTAACACTTTGGAGACTAGAGTAAGGGGTGCGCCCAGGAAAGGTACGAAGGTATCGTCGGAGTAGCATGAAAGATGACCTGGATTGCTTCAGGCGAAGATAAATATGACGATTCGTGATGATATAAATTATGGGTATCTTTGTTACTCGCACACGTACTTTTGCCCCCCAACTCCCAAACAAATAGAAAAAAAAACCACATTTCACCTCCAACTCTGATTCCGCCACCCCAGCCCAGCCGCCCCCCTCGCGGCTAACCACTCACTCTCCGCCTTCCCACCCCGTCCCCCAAGCAACGCTCCAACATCAACCTCCAACTCCCTCCAAAGCGCCTGCTCCACCTGCACCCTAAACTCCTTATCTTGACCATGACTCCCCAGCAACACGATTTTCCCCGGCGGCACACCCAATCCGCCCACAGCATGGACAACAGCTTCCTGTAGCTTCGCCCAGAACTTTGCGCGGGGGGCTTCGTAGACGGGGAGACTCCACCAGCCGAGATCGTTTCGCGCGACGTAGTTGATCATGCGGGAGTGGGGGGTTGGTGGTTTGATCTTGGTAGGGGAGCAGCTGGTTTCGTGCATGCTTGCGCTGAAGGAACTGGAGTCGAAGGCCAGGACGAGGATGTGTTGGTGTTGGTGGGGGAGTGTTGCGGAAGCGCATGAAGCGTGTTCTAATCCGGCATGTGTGGCGTATGCTTCCGAGTATATCGAAGGGGTATCCTCTGATAGAGCGAGACCGGCTGATAGTAAAGCGTTTTCAAAGTCCTTCTCATGGGATCCGTAGAAGGGGAATGTGACGGCCGATGTGATATTTGTGATTGGGTGTCCGAGTTCATTTTCGAGGGTTGCGTGGACTTTTGATAGGAATTCTGTGAGGATTCTGCTGTCGTTTGGAGAATTTGATGAAGTGTGTGGTGTCATCCACCGCGACATTAGGTCTATGTATTCGGCATCTCCGGGGATTTGGGCCACGTCGATGGTTGTGCCGTTTGGGTACCGCGCAGCTGCTACTGCTTGTGATGTTGTGAAATGGACGCCGATGCTGGGAGGCGCATCAAGTCCTTCCGCGCTAGTGTGTTTGTCGAGGGGTTCTTCGACAATGGGTATCTGGTGGTGGTATCGTACAGCTCGTGCACTAGCCAAAGGCACAAGCAGAAGAAGACCGACGAGTTTCATTTTGAATTCGTGAGATGAAGATTGTTACAAAGAAAGAAGAGAGCGTAAGGAACCGACTACAATGAAGAGCGGACCCGAGTATTCGTAGGATCAGGTGCAGAAAGAAAGGATGGCACAGCGTGAAAGAGCGACGGTGGTGAGTAAGGAGTAGTGGGTGAAGAAGCGGCAACGACAACGGCGGTACGCTCGTCGTCCCCTCACTCCATCAACGGGGCGACTCCCGACGCCTTATAGGAGTCGTCCAAAGACATCCGATCGTACCGTCAAGGCAAAGAGGATCCGAGGTTCTGGTCAGGGACTTGTGGATCCGCCCACTGTTCCGTGGGCACTAGGGGTATACGAGCTAGCCCGGCGTGCGATCGGTCCAACCTAATGGCTTCAAAGAACCCCTCTCCGGGCCCCATGCAGGACAAAAAACGCGTTCCTGGGTCTCGGTGACCGTGTCTTGGAACACTCCGTTGGCACTCAACATCTCGGACAGCGAGTAACATCGGCGCGTAACAGCTGTTGTGAAGCTGTTGGAAGCGCGCTGTGGCCCAGGTGTCAGTCGGCAAGGGACCGAAAATAGAAACTCGCCCAGACCCGGCACGCTCGGCACTACTAGAAGCTTGTCCTACCCCTCTCTCGTACTTTTCGCTCCTAGCTATGGCAGAACAAGACTCGGGCGAGCCTTGGCACATGTATTGATTGCTCACATCTTCTCCGCAAACGGTTCTCCTTCGAGTCAACTACCTGCCGTCTCATCGCATGCGCGATTGCGATACGAAGGGGCGCTAGAGGACCCTGACATGCGCGTGATACTCGCGTTATACTGAGCAAATACGCTGCATCAAGAGTTCTGTACAACATTAGGTGCAGGTGTCGTGAGTCTAGGTGCCTCTTATGAGTAAAATCGAGGAGCATAGTAAAGCTCAACGTCTGCTCGAGCATGTGCAGGAAGTGTTTTTCGCAACTACCGATAGGCGTCCTGCCGCTTACTGCTACCTTCGTGTAGCGCATGTTAAACCCGACAGCGGGACGCGTTCCGTTAGCTACTCTCACGCGTCGTTCAAAGCAGAAGGTACAAAGGAGCTCATTCCGTCTGAGCCGTACTAACTATTAAAATCGCGAAAAGGATACGATCGGTAAACTTCATACAATGTGCGGAGTACATACTTCAACATTAACACACCTTAAAAGCAGACGTTCACGTGGGCCTAGTACCAAATAGAGTGCTCATCTTCAAAGAAACTTGTGCCCGTATAGTTCTCCTCTTCGAACCGACCTACTAGCTTTAGAAATACACATCAGCAAACCGCATCAACATTTCTTCCTCAAGATCCTCGCAAGCGAAGATACCCAATGAAAAAAAAAGAGAGTCGCGCCAGCCAGAAGTAGTGCGAGATACTGGCGGCACCGTGGCCTCGAGGTATGAGCGAGCTCAGGGACCCGAGGTCGAACTACAAAAATAAGAGTAATGGATGATCCGCCGTGGCGGAATCATAGTTATTACACTATGAAGAACAGATACTACACTTGATCTAAGCCAGATTGGCAAAGAGAGCTGGTGAGCAGATGAGGGACGGGGGATGGGGAGGTTTATATAGACGATGAGGGTGGGCCGTGCTGCGTTAGGCGGACGCACGTGAGACTGCTGCCTGGCCAGGGGGTTGCATTGCCGCGCACGTGTTGCGCTGTTGCCTACATCTCGAAGATCACGGCTGAGTGTGTCGCTTGCTTGTTGCCGTCTTTGCTGGCAAAAGAAAAAAAGGCGTGACCGCGAGTCTGGATGGAATCTCTCGTATATATTCGACGGGAAAGCAACCGACAGCGACGCACCTCAAAGCTACCACGATCATTCCGCATCTCAAAGTAACATCGATGATCAGCCCGAACCACGGCCAGGCTCCACCCTGAGTCAAAGGCTCATCCTCTTCTTCGTTAGCAAAGGGCCTAGGCAGAGATCAATCTCTACCCAAGTAGTTCGATACGTCATTCACGGTCGGCATGCTTCCGCCACTCTTCTCACTGACGGCATAACCATGTAAACCCCGGCAAGCCCCACTGTCTACACGTCCGATTTCCGTGTCTACCAACCCATCCTCTACCAGAGTAATCGGGTACTCGTCATGCTCACGTCCAATCTTGTTTCTCAGCTTAGAGCCCCCACCGATAGTTGCAGGATGGCTCACTTCGTCCGAGGGGCTGACCCTGTTGGAAGACCACAGACGGGTAGGAGATATCAGTCTGAGAAGCGGGCGCAGAGTCATGATGCAGCAGTTGATGATGGCCACAGCAGGCTCGGCGACGGACCAGAAAGCCGCGTCGGTCATTGCGTAGGGTAGGTTTTTAGTGTTGCCTGCGGTATGAAGGAGGTCGAAGATAACGACGATACGAAGGATGGAAATGGCCGTAACACTACGATTCAGATCAGCTGACATATACCGAGCAAGCGACTCCCAGAGTTTCGTACAGTAGACCTATTGCAAAGATCGCCACCAAGCCAATCTTGGCACCACGAGTCATTTGTAGTTTTCGGATGAATGGTATGGGCAACAGGATGATAATCAGATCAGTTATCATGTTGAAGATGCCAGTCGCAACGAATGCCGTGCTGTGTTTGTGATCCGGGCAGTACTTTTTGGCCAAAAGAGGGTTCCAGTTCGCCTCGAGAGGCGTGCACAAAAGAAAAGTCGCAAGCATGCTACCGAGCCAGTACGCAACGACCAAGCCCATGCATATCCAAACCCAGATACGATGTTCCTTGAGTGTGAAAAAGCGTAAGTAGAACAAGAGGTAGGATAGCTTGACGCTGGAGACGGCGGCGTAGTACACAGCTTGGTAAGCTATGAGCAGCTTAGCTAGGAAGATGCTATTGGCAATGGGTAGTTCTTTGGTCTGGTATCCCATCCCGTAATTCGCGTCTGTGATGTGCATTGCGAGCATGCCTGCGTTGCTGGTTAGTGTCCCGGTTCAACGGTATGGTATCGCATCGCATGGGCGTTGCGCCCTGGCCGGCTTGTACCCACCAATAGTGAAGATCAGTGAAGCCACTGCGGCAAAGTCATCCCACCTACACCTTTGTCAGATTATGTCACCCTTGGCAGACATTTTCAGTCTTCACATACCATATCTTAGTCCCGCAAATTCGTCTCGTAATGAACCGCAACACAACGAGTATGGTAGCAAAACCGACGAGGGAGATGTTCGCAGCCAAGTGCCTTGTGACGAGATCGGAGTGGAAGATGTTCGTTTTCGTCAATGGATCAAAGGGTAGCATGTTTGCAAATGGATATAGTGTTCTAGATAGCCTTGGAAAGATATGGGACGAGATACCGGCATTTGAGGACTGACTGTTGTTTGATATAGCAGAATCATCTCGCCCCCGCATGCGTTCAATAACCCGACAGGGTAGATGGTGTGGTTGGAAAACGCCATGGCGTTGGCTCAAACCATTCGCAATGTGGCGAGCGTAATGGCATACTACCTTATACGGCCCCGAGGGGCTATGCGCAAGGCAGAGAATATGTTGCTGCGCAGTGCATGCGACATATCCCCATGCTTATGTCAAACAACAAGATCTTTTACGGAGGTGGATGCACGTCAGGATTCAATAAGCAGGTGTATTTTTCTGAAAGACAAGAGACGAATCGCCATTGAGCTACGATGGCGATTGTCGGGTGTATATGTCTGGGTCGAGTCAGCTCGGGCTTGTTTAGGCTAGTGTGGAAAGCTTGTCCTGAGAGGACTGCACTTCGCATATTAGTTGACAGCCCCATTCAGCTGGCAATCTCATGTCAGCTTACAGTCTCAAGCTTGCCTACTCCATGCTTTTATGACGTCTTTCCCTGCGGAGCGGTCCGTTCAGCGAATTGTACGATCAATAATAATAGGACGGGCATTCTGCAGAAAGTTGTGTCACCAAAGGCCACCGGGATTGCACCAAGCACTGTTGTCGAAAAGGCTGTGAAGGGCGCGTTGCGGCATTGGTTGAAGACCATGCCCCGCAGTCGCGCACGCGAGCGGTACCGTAACATTCGTCGGATCTTGCGTGCAATCTTGAAGCTTCGTCAAAGAAAGTCGTGCGGGTCTTTATTGTGCGGATGTAATTACATTGTGTTGCCAGGTAGATGCAACGGTATCTAGATGCGTGGAATGAAAAGTGAGCCGCTTGCTATCGCGTCGATTAACCACAAGAAAATCGTAACTGGAGCACTTCTGCTTTGGCTAGAGACGTTTCGAGGCTGCAGTGGAGCGCGGGCGGGACCGGGCCTTGAGGCTGCAAAGCTTTCCGGCTCCGCGCCCTCACCTGGAGGGATACTAGCCGTATCAATCGCGCTCTGTCTTCTATCATCAAGCAAACAGGTGGATATTTTGCAAGTTCGCGACAAGATAGGCGCTCGGCATACCGTTGTGGACCCGCATACCCCGGCCCGCAGCCTTAGTGCCTCCCAATCATCGCTTGCCATCTCCCGAGGGAGCAGCCGCCCGTTGCGCGTTGAGTCGATAATGAGTCCAGATTAAAGGTCTTTCTCTTTCGAGAAGGTCCTCGATCCTATGGTGGGACAGTCGCTTAGACTTTCGCGTTATACTGCGATGGTCGCACAGCGTCTCCCTTGTGCCACCATAAGCACACAGATTTACCAATCGACAGCATGCACATCGGTTGCGTTACATCTATCGATGCACTCTCCACGAGAGCGCCCGACTTCATCGTCATTGGCGGCGGTATCGGCGGGTTGGTGGTTGCCAATCGTCTGAGCGAGGATGCGGACAAGAGCGTGCTACTGATCGAAGCTGGCGCCAACCGACAACGAGACCCAAAGATCGACACTGTTGGTATGCTATCAACGCTTTATGGAGACCCTGACTACGATTGGGACTTCATGTCTGAGCCTCAGGTGAGTCCAGCGGCACGATGCCATGTTGCCGTGAAAAAGAACATCGAACCCAACTGACAATCGGGCTTGTAAGACACACGTCAACGGTCGCCAGATCCCGCATCCCAGAGGAAAGGTTCTGGGGGGATCTTCAGCCATCAATTTTGGCGCAATCGTATATCCATCAAAGGCCAACTTTGAAGCCTGGAAAGCACTCGGCAATGAGGGTTGGGACGCCGCTGGCATCGCGCCATACTTTCGCAAGTTCAGTCGCTTCACACCACCGAGTGCGGAAACGAAAGAACTCCTCAACATAAACTACATCAATGAGGATCTGCATGGCAAAGACGGCCCTGTCCCTGTAACGATCCCAGATGTGTATGGACCGTTCCAGGCGTCGTGGGCAAAGACCCTGGACAAAATGGGTTGGTGCAACACGGATGATCCTATCGAGGGCGAGAAGTTGGGTACATTCGCGTGCGGATTGTCCATCGATGCCGAGACGAAAACTCGCGGCTATGCAGCGTCAGCATACTACACTCCAGAAGTTGCAAAGAGACCAAATCTCGAGGTCTTGACGGAGGCATTCGTCGAAAAGATCCTGACGAAGGGCTCTGACAGCTCTGTAGAGGCAACGGGTGTGAGTGTGCGAACAAAAGATGGATCGAACCATGAGATCGTAGCGAAGAAAGAGGTCATCCTTTCTGCAGGAGCCATCCAGTCACCGCAAGTCCTTGAGCTTTCCGGAATCGGCCAGAAGACACTCCTTGAGAAGCATGGTATACCGGTAGTTCTCGATAGCCCTGGTGTGGGTGAGAACCTCCAGGACCACGCCATCTCTGCTCCTTCTTTCGAGATCGCCGACGGGCAGTTCTCTGGGGACATCATGCGGGATCCGAATATCGTCCAGGCCGTACTCCATCAATACATAACCACTAAGACCGGCCCGCTCGTCGGTATCCCGATCAGCTTGACCATGCTTCCGCTTGTCGACTCCGATGGTCGCATCAGCCACGAAGAGATTGCGAAATTGAAAAAGGAATACATCAACGACAAGGGACTGCCACTCTGGAAGAAGAAGCAGTACGAGCAGCTCGAGAAGCAAATCCTAGACCCCAAAGAGGCAGCAGGATACGCGATGATGCTGCCACTGCAGTTGAACATCTCTTCTGGTGCTACGCAGATGAACGCATTGCTTGCGCCAACTCACCCCAAAAACTTCATCACAATAATGGCAGTCAACAATCATCCCTTCTCACGCGGCTTCTGCCACGTCCGATCAGCAGATCCGAAGGAAAAGCCCATTCTAGACCCCCAGTATCTTTCTCATCCGCTGGATCTAGAAATCCTCGCCCGGTATACGCAATACATCGAGACCATCATCAAGACCGAGCCGTTCGCTTCTCTTCTCAAGCCGAGCGGAAGGTTGCCCGAGGGCAAGGAAGCTAAGGATTTGGATACGGCGAAGGAGATCGTCAAGGAGAGACTGTTGAGCACTTTCCATCCCACGGGCACATGTGCGATGATGCCTAGAGAATTGAATGGAGTCGTTGACAGCAGATTGAAGGTATACGGAACAAAGAACCTTAGGGTCGTCGACGCGTCGATCTTCCCGATGGAGACGTTGGGTAATATACAGGCGACGGTGTATGCGGTGGCGGAGAAGGCAGCCGACATCATCAAAGAGGACTGGAAGATGTGATAGCGATATGCGAGTACATCCGTATGAATATAAGGAATCGAGATCAGCCTATTCTAGCACTAGCATCACATGCCCACGAAGCGCGAAAATAGCGTCTGAACATTGTTAGAGAAAGACATACAGGCGATTTTCGAATTGACTTGCTCGACTTGATTGTTTTCAGCTCCGCCTACCACGTCGACCAACCACGCTCAACCGCTTGCTGATACGGCTCGAGCGTGATGTTTTGCGTATCGCCGTTGGAAAGGTAATACATATCCTCACCCGCATGCTGGGGGCCAACACCATATTCTTCACCCTTTTGAAATGCTCGTAGATCGACTCGATTTGGCGGAAGCACACCATCAACCGCACATTCTTCCATTACTTCCTCGGCCAATACATGAAGCTTTTCTTCAGGGAGAGGATCGAAGCCTATACTGCGTGCAGGCTGCTTGTCCGTGCTCCAGTTGGCTCCTTGGTAGCTGTAGAGACGCCCTTGTAGCCAATCGCAACCTTCGTATTGTATGTAACTTGGTACGAAGCCAGGTAGACTACCGCTGGGAATGATGGATGTCTCATAGTGTATGATCTGGCTCGAATAGTCGCCTCGGTGGCGTTTCTCTTCGAGATAGTGGGCGATGCAGGCTTTGTCGCATTCTTCAACCGTTACACCAGGCATAGGCAGGAAATGTAACTCCAGACGGTAGGGACATCCATAGGCAAAGTACGGGGTGTCTCGGATGAGAGCTTCGAGAAGTTCGACCGGCTGGACATTCCCTGGATTGACGTCTTGATGGGTGAAATAGACGTGGAAACCGTAGAGTGGTGGAAGTGGACATGTTTGTCTGCCTCTGAACACCATGAGCGCCTCTTTGCCGGCATGGTCGGTGAATGGAAGAACATGTATTTTGACGCGATATATGCGACCTGCTTTCCCCAGTCCTCCCATGGTTGCGCAATTTCCGTGTAATTCCAAGGTTCAGAATGCGGGTGACTGCTGGCTGAGGACGCTCCAGCTGTGGACGATAAGAAGGGGCGTTGGCGCCTGATCGCGGACAAGACGCCAGCGCACGTGCATGACCAAGGCTAGCCGGATTCATCAGCCAAGCTAGCTGGAGGCATCTCAGGTTATGTCGAATCACGTCTTGGTTGTATGTGAGTGCGTTCAGGTGTGATGTGCGCGGCCTTCCGCAATTTTCCAGTACTTGCGCAGCTTGCCTGTAGAGAGGACGCTTTTTGGTGGACGGCTTTCGTCATGACTCCGCACGTACACAGAAGGAACTGCAAATACTGTAGACATGACTGATAGTGCTCTGTTTGGACCGCACGACACAAGCGAGAGAATAGAGAGCTGGAACGCGTAAATAGTGAAGAACAGTACCCGGTTTCTGGTGTCGTGGTGGTCCACGGGTGCGACGCGTCGATGCGAGGCGGGTAACGTGTTGGTCCGTGCTGACGGGCAAGCCGTGAAATCCCGTTGGGCAGCATCACGTGTCAACTGGGGCCTTGGCTTTGGGGAGCGGCATCAGGTGTCGCAATAATTCGTGAGACTCTTAGCATTTGCGAACACGCGCTGCACCTACAAACCTCTTTTATAAAAAAAATTATAATATAGCTATAAGCTTTGTAAGCTATTTAATTATAATAACTATTATTTTATATATTATTACGTTGTAAAAGCGCTATTATTGTAGTAGTTGTTGTAATTGCCAAGAGTCTCACGAATTATTGCGACACCTGATGGCGGTCAACTTTTGGTTCGCAACAAATACTCGAATATTGCACCAACGTATGTAAGCCAGCGGTAGCACGCCATCGTATCTGCTCTCGGTTCATCGCGACTACCGCAGTCTTACTTCTCCCACGACTCCATCCTTACATTAATTCTTCGCACCTCCAAGCCATGGCCAATGAAACAATGGCCGACGGTGGAAATCCCCTACTCATCGACGATATCAGTCAGGCTGACCCGAACAAATATCATCCCTCCGACGTTCTACTCTACAAGTGGTATACCGCCGAGCGAATAGCTGACAGCCCAGACCGTTCAGCACTCTATGCGTCAGCTATTATGCGAGAGACCTCGGGTGAGGTACCACCCCGAGTGCCGTGGCCTCTTCCATTTCCTCGTCCGCGCGAGCAATTGGAGATTGGTGTCGAAGAGTGGAGAGAAGCAAGTCTGCGCATCATCGACCAGCGTATCGCACTCTACGACTCAAAGTCCTCCGGAAAGCGTTCCCCACTTGCGGCCCCTCCGGCCACATCGGACAATAGACATGGCCTCCCCCATCGCGCCTTAGGTATCAAGGAGCTGCTTGAGCAGATACTCCGATACGCCACGCCAAGCACACAGTACGCTGCATGGAACGTTTCGAAAGGTTGGAGAGATATGGTGAGATACATCCTTCAAACTCAATTCCGTATTCCATATCCGTGCGGACCTGTCGAGTATGGTGACGCTATTCAGCCTGGCCTGAACTGGTTGCAACCATCTGACTCCGAGATCGCAAAATTTCAGAGAGTCGTGGATCAACTGCTGCAGAACTCATATTGCGGGTTGTTCCCCGACTCCTTCTTCACGGCACGGCTGTCGCATGCAGACAAGCTGCCACTGTCGACATTCGATGAATTCAGCGCATTCTGTGAATGTGTTCTCCCAGTAGAGTCTACGGCAGCGCCTCTTTCTCGAAATGATGGACCTTGCTGGATGGATCTAAGCCAATTCGAGGTAAACCCACACTTCACCGACCGGTTTGGGGATAGTCTGGAGCCGATGGATGGTGGCTACGCTCTTACTATAACGCCTCAGCTACAGCGACATCTGAGAGATCAGGCATTGATGCCAGAGCTGAACGAGCTCGTTCACACCATGTTCCTTACGAATCCCCCATGTAAGGGCTTGGGTATATACGCCTTTGGTCCGGATACGAGCTTCAGAGACTTAGAACCCGTTGAAAAAATCCACAACGTGGACGGCATTCGTATCGGAGATCTCTTGCTACGGATCCGGCAGCATATCGCCGTGGCAATTGAACGCTGGCGTCATAGAGCTCTCTCTATACGCGAAGTCATTGCGGAAGAGTCGTGGATCGGAATGTCGTCTGACTCGGAGAAACTCTCAAAGTGGACTGAACCTGGCATTCCGCAACTCCTGTTCTTTCTCGAGTCAGCGGATCATAATGAATTTGATCCAACGTTGGCACAATCCCTTTTTCAAACTCGCGATTCCTGGATCGAGCGCGAGGCACAGTGGAAACAACCTATCTGAAGTCTACGTTACCTTCGGACTTGTCAATCTTCGTCTTGGTTTGAATGTACACTGTAGCGCAACGGGTTTATTCCGTTCCTCTCATGAGATGTAGGCACCGACAAGATGAGATGAGATGAACAAACCGATGCTGATGACGCGGCGAATTCATCTTACATGACCTCGTAGTGCGACGACACCTCTCTATAGCCTCAGAAAAACAACCCCAATATTACTCCCACGCTCCCTTCCTTTTAGTGACAAGATTAGCCACACCTACATTAGTCCTACTTAGTCGTACACCCACCACACCATCCACCACACTATGCAGTTTATGTTTCCCTCGTGGCAGCCTCAGCCTACGTGTCTTATTTTCCTTTTCCGTTCGGCGTCCGCGCATCCGAACTCTTGGGGAAGGAAAACAAAGGAGAGAACCCGGAGTCCCCCAACCCCAAGAAAGTTGGCACGTCACTATGCGCGCAAGACAAGATTAGGACGGGTGGTTCAATTACCCGGCCGATCTGGTGTCGGGTGCTGGATCGGGAAGGGGTGGTGAATGATAGTCTAGCATCGCCTTCGCACGGACGCTAGAGAGTGGAAGGGGTTGGTGATGAGGGAGTCGGAGTATGTACCCGCACTTTCGAAATGAGTAATCGAATGCGCAAAAGCTATAGTGGGTATCTTCCAAATAGAACACTCAGGATATGTTCGCTGGAAATATCTGGCTACCCCTTTGGACCCAGTGTACCATCGCGACTAATCAGTCGGCAGATCGAAATAACCGCTGCACTGACGATATGGAGATACTAGAAAGAACTTTAAGACAGCTTCCAGGCAACCAGCACCGTGCTTCCAACCCGGAAGAACTACCGATGGGTGACGACGTGATGAACCGTGAGTAATCGCGGGTACCTGAGCAAAGCATGACGAACGTGATATCAGTGCTCGACTGCCGATGTAGTGGCCATGGGACATCGCTGATGAGTATGGCTTCGTGATCGTCGGCGACATGGGTTGACCAGGGGAGGCGAGGTGGCCTGGGAAGAGTCGAGACGTTCATCACATCGTATCGTGTAGTTATTCGCTGATATCCTGAAAGGATGTGACGAGTCAGCACACTGAAGAACGTGCAGACGCGCATACCCTTCCGCGTGGCACTTGCAAGGAAGTGTCAAAGCATGTCGAGCCGATATAGTTGCCGCCGTCTTCGGGGAATTTGCTAGGTGCTGTATTGAGTTGTAGCTACTTCACTACCAAGATTGCAGTGTGGATCGGACGCGATGGTCGTGACAATTATCGATCACCGTGGATATCATGACCACGCCTCTGGCCGTGATGCATTCCTGGGGACTTGTAACGTCCTTGTTGAGAGCGATAACCCATGCTGAGGACGTTTGTAGGCTTCAACGGTGTGATGCTAGGGCCAATGGCTGGTCAATTGGAAGCCGTCCCGCAGTCGCATATCTAGCCGTTAGGACATGACTGGTTTTGTAATGCTCTGAATCAGTCCCGATATGGCGCAATCAAAACACACTTCCGAGGAGTCAACAACATGTTGAGCGACGAAAGGGGACATCGATCAGCTTGGACATGTCGTGGACGTCCAATCGTATGCTGTAGCCGGCACCAGACGGGAAAGGGAAGCTTTGTCACTTAGCCGCTGTGGTTAGCGGGTCTCTAATTCGAGGCCGTACCCCACAGCACTGGACCCACGCGGGTGCCGAGATAGGGACAGGAGCTGCGCCCGTGTTGTGGGAGTGGTTTTTGGTAGCCAATACTTGGGGAGCTGAAAAGTAAAACCGTTGCCAACGAGCGAGCACGGTGGCCTCTGTATACACGACGTCGTGCGCATGTCGGTAGATGAGATGCATGTGCATGCCTCCAGGAAGTGGAGCACAGCCGCGGAAGGATCATTAGTGTTTTGACGGTGGAAGTACGTAACGGCTGAGTATTCCCAAAGGCCAGGAATTGCTGGCGGGGAAGCGGCCTGAATAGAGTGATCTTTGCAAGGAAGAGGGGTGAAGTCTTCACAGGACCGGGATCAGGTTTCTTGAGTGCGGAAGTCAATCGAGGCCTCGTACATCCAACTCGAAGTTTCTGCGTGGCGCAATAGGTGCAGTCTGAGGCGCCCGCATAGGCGTCCCTGGTCTTAATGGGTCTCGTAATGTGGATCGCGTGAGTCTCGAAACAACAGCCATGTGTACCTGAGGGTAGGCTGGATCGGGGATACCGCTTACTGTGGCTCCTCTGGTCAAAGACACAACGTGCTGACGACACACAGTGGGTAGGTGGTACCGAAGACGCGACGTCACCAAGACAACTAGACAGCGAGAAGACGTCGGCGAGTAGGTTAGGTGGAAAAAGACGGCGGGCGGAGTATTGCCAGCCACGAGAGAGCGGAGACAGCAACAGGCGCCGTCAATGTCCCGCATCCGCAGGGCATCGCGCAGAGCGAAGGCGGATCACACTTTGTCGTGATGCGGTGAGGTTATTCGTTGTTGAGATAGACGAGGCCGGGGGTGGCCCCTGCTGCTAGGCGGGCGATCCGAGAGCGCTTCGCCACGACGGGCGAAATCTCAACGCTGGACCCTTCGATCTCTGCTCACGACACGCGACAATCGCGCGATGGTGGGAAAAGCAGCATTGCGGCTTGCCAGAATGCGGTAGTCTAGAGGACGCCGCTGGTCTCCCAAAGTATCGGCTCATATACGGGCCTCCAAATCAGGTTGTCCTGCGGCAAAACGTCCAGACGCCGGATTCGGTACTACTGCTCAGCTACCCCGGCTCCGGGACAGCGATTGGCCATGCGTGGAATGCCTCTCTACCCACTGATGAGCCGCAGCAACAACCTGCCTGAACCCAGTCACATTAACGCTCCACAGTCAGCTCCCGGCTACTGGTCACCTATCCACACTGGTCATTTGTACCAGCAAGTCACAGCGCGAGCTGAAGGGACTACCGACGTCGCTGGTACCTGGACCCCTGCGGGCGAAACCGACACCATTCCGTACCCGCAACGGAGCTCCCGTGGTGCACTGCCAATGGTGCTGCGCAGATGAGCATTCTGTACTCCAGCATACCATGCTTCCCAACGATGGCCAAGCCCCACTGGAAGTCGAGCCTTTGTGCACGGCGCAGCTGGAGCATACGGGTGGAGATCTGGCTCGCCCTGAGTGAAGGTTATATTCCTGTCCATTCCCAGTCCCGTGCTCTTTGGACGCTGGTGACGCTCGTTCCTCAGTCTCATCCTACTATCGATTAACATCGATTAACAAACGTTCACGGCTTTCGAAACACATACGCCATCACCATGAGGTCTCCCCCGCCCGAGGTCCTTGCGACATGGCCCAAGCCGAACTACGTCGACCCCGTCACGAGGGGCTCAGGCCTGATGATTGTCGAGTTGACATTATTACCCATTGCTATGATTGTGGTCTTCCTCCGACTATGGGTACGGATAGCATGGCTCAAGAAGAGCTGGTATGACGACTACCTCATGATCGTGGCAATGGTCTTCAGTATTGGTACGGTACCCGAACTTGTCTCGACTTTCATCATCTAACTCCTTTTACAGGCACGACAGTAATCGTCATCATGGCATCCCAACTGTATGGTTGGGATCGCCACGTTTGGGACCTCAAGCCGCACGAGCTGATGGTCGGTAGACAGGTACGACAATGTGCAACCCGTGTCACCACACGCTGATATTGACGGCTTTAGGCTTCTATGGCAGGCCAAACGCTATTCGTCTTGGCCTCTTCCACTGTCAAGATGTCCATCCTCATCTCGTATTTCCGCATCGCGCCAGAGAAGTCGCTCTTCCGCAAGCTCGTCTGGGCAACCTTTGCCCTCGTGTTCGCCGCCTTCGTCGTTTTCCTGGTCGCACTCTGGGTACAATGCATGTAAGTACATCCACGTGATCAACTCAATCCAGTGCTGACAACCACAGCCCAATCTCAAGCTACTGGACACTGCAAGCCGACCACCGCGACTGCATCCCTGAAGGACCGCCACTGGTCGTGCAAAGTGTTCTCAACGTCGTGACCGACTTCATGATCTACGCGCTACCTATCCCCACGCTCTTCGGCCTCTCGTTACCGACCACCCAACGTATCGGTCTCGTCATTCTCTTCTCGGTCGGCGGTGTCATCGTTGTTGCAAGCAGCTTCCGCGCCTACTGGGTCCACTACACACTCTTCGAAACATACGATGCCACGTGGGAGGGATACCAGATCTGGGTCTGGACCGCGATTGAAACAAACGTCGGTGTCATCTGCGGGTGCATTCCAGCGCTCAAGCCTTTGCTCTTCCCGCACCGGGCAAGACAGCAAGGGTCCAAGTACGGCAACAACTCGCAAAACAGCAGAAGGAAGGAGAAGATCACGCCTGTCCTTGACCAAGTCGAGATGGACACGCGGAAGCTCACGGGCGACGATGAGACGCGGCCCGGGACCGCCATCACCCCGGTCCACTTCCGTGCGCCCTCGGAACGGCCGATGAGTGGCGATACCGACGATACCGATAAGAGCCGGTTCGATATCGATATAGAGCAGCAAAAAAGCTTCATGTACTGATCGCGAGGCGCAGTACTTTTCACATTACCTAGTTTAATATGCGCATCCGTTCAGCGAGCGATGTTTCAGCTTTCTGTAGGCAGCAGACCCACAAAGAGCCTCTTCTCTTCAACTCACCTCACTACATCTCTTTCCTTTCTTTTTTCTCTTGTCAATACCCGTCGGATACGACAGCTGGGCGGTTTCTTCAAATTTAGCGAGTTCAAGCTCTTAGAAGCAGCCTCTTCTTCTCGTCGCCTAAAGGCGTCGAGCACAATAGCGAATCATACGATCACTACACTCTCTTGGCTGTCGCTTCTTTTATGTTTGGCCTCTGATTGGTTCGGTGTCGACGTGTTTTCGCGACGCGCAATAACCATGCCGCAACTTCTTTTTTCGTCTCGCGAAGACTGCGCCACCGGTTGAAACTGAAGGTGCGCTCACTGTCGCATTGCTTTGCCCCAGTCGTGCCGAAGCGAAGCAAACTATTCAGAGGTCGTCGACTGCTTTATTTCGGGCAATTGAGATTTCACGGAAAGATACTGCCGAAGCGGTCATCATGCGGTGAGATCATTAAATCGGGGGCTGGTTCGTCATGCCGTGTGCATTGAACATCGTCGAAATGAACAGACAGGTTGGTGGTGTGGAAGAGTAGGAGCATGGTGCGACGGCAGAACTTTGCTTTTGTTCTATCCCAGCTGGACCCTGAGTTTGTCGCTTCAACCTCGTGAAATTGGGCTGGCGGTCGGTCTGTGCAGCGAGCATGTCGTCATTCTGCCAACTTACCTCTGTTCTACGCAACCTTCCATCGCAGCTGCAATTTCCATCCAGTGGAGGCTTGAACATGTTTCCGCCCAGAGCTGGACGGTGAGTTGTCAGGCTCGCGGAAAGGCCAACGCAGCGATGTTCCGGCACGGGATGACGTCCACGCCGCAATGTATACGGGCATACGGCGCAGCGGACGTCAGATACCGAATCATGACCTTGTCGCAATGTCGCAATGCCGGAATTGGTGTCTCATACAACGAGCGCATTTGCGATATTGTCGGGCATACGAGCTTTTTCAAGAGTCAGGAACCACTCCCGAGTATTTGGGCGGCTGGGCCTCAAACGGTGGCTTGGAGGCTAGCGACAGGGCTGAAGGCCAAACCTCGGCACCAATCCACTGGCACCAGCGACAGGCTGCATACAGCTGCAGCATGATGTCTGCAGACAGCTGTTCACCGCTTCTAGCGCCTGCAGTGTGAATTTAGCGATTGCGAAGATGCGACGCATCAAAGAGGCACAACTCAGCGGCAATTGAAGCTGTGAATAGCAGCAGCGCTTTCATCGCTGGCGGTTACCTGGACTACAGATATGCCAGGGGTAAAGATTAATAAAAAATCAACGCTCCGGTAGCAGACCCTCGTCTCAAACGTCACAGCGGCGCCCAGTGCTCCGCCGCACGACCGTTGCCGTTCAAACTTACCTCATTGATGCCTCTTTAGGCCTGATGAGGCTTGCGAATCGCCCATCTGGCTTCGAGAAAGCATGCTAGCCTGGCCCCTTCCCGTTTAATGCCAACGCACCGTGCAGCGCCTGCCCCAGCTATGCCTTCCTTCACCTGTACAAACGAAGTCAAAAGTGCCCAAAGGCACGCAGGGACCTGCAATCGCGTCGCTTGCTATTATAAGCAGTAGGTACCTCATCCCTTCCCTAAAGCATTCGCTGTCCCCATTGTTCTCGACAAACAATTCACTTTCAACCCGCCAACATGTGGTCGTCGCTAGTGCTACCACTGCTCGCGCTTTCCTCGCTCACCGTCACAGCCCTCCCCAAAGGTCAACGTTGCAATTGTGAGGAACACCCAGTATGCATCATTGGCGCGGGCCCTGCCGGCCTAGCTGCTGCCGGCCGGTTAGAAGCGAAGGGCATCAAGGCAGTCATGTTCGACCGTCAAGATGAAGTTGGTGGTAAATGCCAGGCTTGGTATGATGACCAGTAAGTGTTACACAGCGTCCGCCTCCAAGCGCATTAGGCGCGGCTGACCACCCTTCCAGAGGCATCTTCCACCCACTCGGCGCCGCCTTCCTCTCCAATGCGTCGTACCCGAACACCATCGACATCCTCAACCAGACCAATGTCTCGATCGAGCCGTTTGCGCTTGCCGGCGCGCGCGAAATGTACCGCTACAATTACATCAACGGCGACATCATGGTCAACCCCGCCCTGACCCCGCAGTTCACCGCGCAGGTATCTGCAGAAATTCCGAGGTACATTCAGCTGTGGACGCAGCGCTTCCGACCGATTAGTGTCGTGAACTACAAGGTACGACACCCGTTGTGGTGCGCCGTTGCACAAACCCGGGTAAGCTAATGCAGGAACAGAATGGTGTACCAGACGAATTCACCGTATCCGGCGCAGAATGGTTCCGCCAGAACAACTTCACTGCGCTGCCCATTCTGCTCGTGAACCCCGTCGCGCTCTACGGTTATGGCGATATCAACATTGTTCCAGCGGTACGTCATCATTCTCCAGAAAATTCTTGCAGGGATCGCGCATGCAGGACGCTAACGTGTGATTAGCTGTACATACTGCAGTACTTCACCCCGGATATCCTCACGGCCTTTATCGGCTTACACAGCGTGTACTACATGGACTTCCACAAGATGTTCGTCGAGTACGCCAAGAACCAGCTGTGCAAGACACCCATTCACACTTCTTCCGAAGTCCGTTGCGTCGACCGGTCCGGCGACCACCCTATCGTGTCCTACACAACACCTATGAAGAACGGCAGCTATGTCTCCTGGGAGAAGCAAGAGTGCTCATCCGTCATCTTCGCATTCCCGCCAAGCATCGAAAACCTCGAGCGCGTTGGTGTGGATATGACAGAGCAGGAGCACGACACCTTCAACAACATCACGACGCACCAATACTATTCCTCCGCCGTAGAGCTCGAACTGCCCTTCGGCGTCTCCTACATCGCCAACAGCACCGACGAGACAGTCCCGCCACCGAACGACGGCGAGCCCGTAGCCGTCCTCCACCTAAGCAAAGAATCCAACGTCTCCGTAGCCTGGTCCTGGGGCCCATACGACTTCCAAACCGAAGCCGCAGCTGAGAACCTCCTTATCGACAGCTTATCCAAGGTCAACAAGGACCCGCGCAATGCCACGGAGCCATCGCAGCCCTTCTGCGAAGACGACGTCAAGGCTTTCAAGAAGTGGGACTACTTCCCGCATTTCGAGGGCGATGCGCTGTCCAACGGCGCCTATGCTAAGCTTAATAAGCTGCAGGGCCAAAAGAAGACGTACTACGCGAGTGGACTCAGCGGCATGGAAATTGTCGAGTGGGCCATTCGCGGTGGACGTGACGTTGTCGACACGTACTTTTAAGTGCTGTTACGAATTTCCTTGATTGCTCGATTACGACATTGTTGCACGGTCTTCGGACGAGGACACCGTGCTGAAAACTAGAACTCGGTCTGTTTGCGACATCCGCGCGCGTATATACCTGGAGGACACCTGTTTGTTTTTTGTTTTCTGTAACCTGTTGTTCGGACGATGATATCACGGCTGGATTCATGTTTTCCATTTTCTGCGCGCTTTAGATGATGATACCTACACGCCTTCGATGAGCGTCATGATCAGTTGTTCCTGGAGGGTTCTGCAATATGATTGCGGATGGGAGGGACTTTACGATTATGACCTGCATATGCCCCTGCGGAGGGGGCTTCTTAATGGTAATTACGAGTTTCATTCTGGTTTAGAAAGAGATGGAGATGAGAATTCCTATATCTGGTAGGATTAGAGATATAGATATTTAGATATTTGAGCTTGAACAAAATGTATATCTCTCACCACAAACATGGTTCCGTACTTTCTCTTACCTTCTCTCTAAGACTCCACTGGTCTTACAGTACATCAACAACAAACAAAAAAAGGAACAGCTGGACTCGCGACGATTCGAACGTCGATCTCCTACTCCACCCTGAGCCTCATGTTGCATCCGGGGGGGTCCAACAAGAGGCTCCATACCAGAGGCATGGGGCTCTTAAAGCCTCTTCGACGTGGAACGTATGGTGTAGGCGCTCTACCGTTGAGCTACGTGTCCTTGAGTGGTGATTGTTGGAGGGTTGACGATCAAAATGATACGTGTAGTAGTACATAGAGCAATGACTTTATCACATAGTCTTCCTCTCACTTGAGAACATATCGCAGAAGTCTATACTCCAAAAGAAACTAAACTACCCGTACTAAGGCTATGCAAAAAGAGAACCTAGCATTAACAGACAAAAGCCATGCAAAAAGAGAGGCGATATAGTCTACAGCCACGCAAAAGGAAAGAGACGCTATCTTAGACATGGTGTGAGTCGAACACACGATCTCTTACAGTCTCGATCCTACAGGTCCCTCGGAGTATCGAAAGCCCTTGTTTGCATGCAACGAGGTCAACCCAGGTTGCTCAAAGACTCCGTGTAACAGAGGTCACCCGCCAGAGTGACTAAGATGTAAGTGCCTTACCATTAGGCCACACGTGCTGAGTAAATTTGCTTCGTTGGAGTAAAGGCGAAATTGGATGGTACGGACCGAAAGAGGCAGGGACTAAGTGACTGGGTAAGAGCAAGGACTGGTGGTGGGTGAGGATGGAGAAGAATTGGGCATTAGATTGTAGGTGCTGGTTTGAACATCAAGACCAACATGGGACCTGACTTGCGTATAGGTTAAGATCCATCCAGCGTGCGGTACATCTTGGCCTTGTCCGTAGTTCCTTGTCCGATGCAACCAGTGCGACAGGCATCACTATCAATCTCTGTATATGCGGAGATTTCGCAGATTACACATGTTTCAAGTTTCCGGAATCACATTACCATCGTCATCCCAGCCCAAGTGGTGAACGTCAAGTCCTTTTAGCTGCCACTGCTGTCGTGCTATACGTTGAGAGCGACATATGCGTAGCAGCTTCTTCCAACACTATGACAAACCAGATGTAGCGCCCAAAAGCATGCCACAACGGACGTCAGTCTCCCACCCTCGTGTATTCTCAACCCATCGTTCTATTTTCGTAACAAGCTGACGTCGATGCTGTCAGTGCCATATGTGGGTCAGTGGGAAGGGCTCGACGTGGGTCTAGGTTCAGCCCAACACGAGGAGACGCGTGTTGCTTACAAGCCCCCTCATGGACGTGCGAGAACGTTATATAACTAGACTGTTTCACCTTGAACGTCTCTTCATCTTCGGGCTCACATATCTGGCTGGGTCTTCCATCTTCTGCGTCGACTGATTAAATATTAAGCTACTACGGATTACTATCTACCCAACATCCATCATCCGGCCACATCCACGTCCTTGAATCCACCAAACCAGCGTGAAAAACGACAATCCCAGCCGGAGAATCCACCGCATAAAGATGCATCAATCCACCCTGCCATTCCTCCCGTCCCCTCGTCAATCAACAAAAAAGTCAAAAAGGTATATTGCGAATCATTTTCCCCAAGAAGGATAAGAGCATCGCGTCGTAAAGAAACGTTAGAGTGAAGAAAGGAGCAACCAGCCGCTACCCATGCTCAGCGGTCCAGTGCTACGAAGGTACAGTAGCAAAGTTTATAGACACGCCACAAGGTATGTCTACAAAGCGAGCATGGCAAGCATGACTGCGGCGCCGAGACCAGCGCCGACGGACATCTTGGAAGCAGCACCCTCGAAAGGAGGGGTCTCTGGGGAGGGCGAGGCACTGCCGCTGGGGGTCAGTGAGACGGTGACACTGCCGGTGGCGCTCATGGTGGGCATGGCCATGGTGCTGTTGCTTCCAGTGGGGTAAGGGGTAACCATGGCGGAGCTGGATGTCTCAACAACACTGCTGCTCTTCGCGACGTATGCGCTCGACGACGACGATGATGGGGTAGGAGTAGGAGTAGGTGTAGGTGTGACCATGGCCGGGTAGATCTCGGGCAGCAGGCTCTGGACGTCGGTAGGCAGCGCCTGGTACCAGGCTGGTGTGTTGCCAGCAGCGAGCGAGGAAGCCATCTCAGCGGCGAAAGCAGACGACGAGGCGATCGCGTACGCGACTTGGTCGGAAGGAATCGCCTGCGCGATCTCCATGAGGACGGACGACTGGACTTCGGGCCTACGTCACCGGCATGTTAGCATGGATCTACATGTAGTCATGATAATTATCGCGGGTAAGCCGCGTGGTAGTCGCGTTGCGTTTGCGGGTGAGGCAGCAACCGCAGATGAAAACATGTGGAGAACAGGCCAAACTTACGCAACACCCTGAGCGCTCACGCCCATAGCAAGCGCACCCAACGCCAACGCGATAGTGTTGTACTTCATCTTGATAGTCTTGTCTCGTGTTGAATGATCGTAATTACAGCGAGTGTGTTTAGGGCTTCGTATGACGTGTTGGACAGCAACGGACCGACAGACTGTTGAGTTTAATAAGAGAGTGTGGAGAAAGTCTGCTTCTTGATGACGACGCGACAGACAAACTGACAGTAAAAACTGCAGGGTGCAAAAAAGTGTAATGAGCGTAAAGGTTTGCGGTACGAAGAGAGAGCGAGAGATGAGAAGGGAGGATCCCCGGCTGTATTTGAAACTATGGGCACAGGGCTCACGCGCTCCCTTCACGATAGGTTTGCTCGCCTGTGTGGTTGTCCCCTTTGGGGGACGGGGGCCAGTGGGAAAAGCGGCTAACGGATGGGGAAAAATAAGATTACTACACCAATCTTGTGACGGGGCCTGAGGCGGGCGACCGCAAAATGGTAATTGGAATGGGGATATTGGCAGCGCAAGCGAAAGTGATTCGCTGATCGCGGTAACTCCTTTATGCTGTGCTGTTTCTGTTTGGTTGGGGGCCCTCCTGTTTTCTTGCGACGTTTGACAGTTTGGCAGTTTCTTTTCTTTTGCAAGCACCCCGTTTGTTCGCCCGCTGGATGGCCATGACAACTCCAAACACGACGAGATCGTGATCACGCGATGGAGTCGCCGGCGTGCGATGGCGGTTGGCGGCGCTCAGGGCAAGGTGTCTCATCTCCTTGAAGCGCGGAGAAGCTTCTGAGTAGGCCAATCAGAGTGTTCGACGACGTCGCTAGTGGAAGGGTCAAATTTCCACTTTTTAAGCATGGCAGGGGTTCGCGCTGCCGTCTCCAGGGCAGCCCACATGGCCTCAATTCGTGTGCTGCAGGGACGCATGAGGTGCATATCGTGTTCTTCGCAGCCTCGTTTTGTCGCGTGCGTGGTTTGCACTGCGTCATGAGTGCGCTCACGGCATGCAGGCGGAGGTGCTTCTCTAGGTACGAAGTGTATGGAATATCGCCAATCCCATAGTTCGTCGCGATATGCCAAGGGAGGATTGCCAAACTGAAGACTGACAAGCGACACTGCACATCGCAATTAGTCGCCGGCAATTCGGCACTACTGCCCAGATAGCAGAACACCAAGCGCCGTTTTCCCATCTGCCGTCAAGACATCGTGAACTTGGCCATCATGGTTGATCTGCATAAAACATTTCGTTTATAACGGAACACATGTTCTTTTGGTCATTCCACCGTCGAATAACGGCTGGCGGTTATTTTCACATGCTCTCGCCCACGGCGGAGGAGGCCTCATTCTGCAACAAGTCGACGAGAACTGTTGGTAGTCAGGGTCAAAGATAAAGCGCGGGTCTCGCTATCGCGCTTTATTACGTACTATCGTTTCAACCACAACGCGATTCACGAACGACTTCTGCAACGATAGTACGTTTCTCGGAATTGCTGATGCATTATGATAGCGTATACAGCTACATCTCAAGAGCTTGGGCGAAGATAATCGAGATCTACGGCACTCATCTACCGACAGAACATTTTAGATGAGGCTGGAACGATGCACATAGCTTCGCAATATCACCGAAGCGCCAATCCATCTCTCTTCAATCCTCCATCTCCCTGGCGCGTGATACTCCAGCGACGGCAGTGTGACCCTGGCCACCAACAGGCTTGCCGCATTCTGGACAACGCGCGAGCTGCATGGGCATGCCGCACTCTCCAATGGCGAACTGCAATGTATTAGATCATTTCATGTCAGATGGATGGGAAAACTTTACTGGATGGCCGTTCACACATTTGTACCAGTGCCCAGAGTGAGTCGCGATACCCCCATGTCCGCTAACCATAGCCTTCTTGATAGACTCCAGTTCCTCTTTCGATACCGTCTCGTAGAACTCCTTGTTCAGCATCGTCATTGTAGCGACTATGGCTTGGCGTAGGGTGTCCCGATCCCGGAAAGAGTTCTCACAAAGCCCGTCTGCCTTCGCCAGCAAGCCTTTAGCGATGTTGCGGTAGCTCATAGCCTTTGCGCGGTCGTTGTTCTGACCAGATTGAGCACTACCAAAGAACTGGGCGATCCGGGCATAGTGCAGGATAGCCTCAACCGAAATCTTAGGCAAACTCTCACGTGTGCAGTCATCGATGAGCCTCTGCGTGTCTTTGAGGAACTGATCCGTCCTTGCGACCGGTGAACCACCGGGAAAACTGAGAGGCAAGGTACTCTGGAAATGCTTCTGGTTTACAGTACGCATGATCTCGAAGTTCTCCTCAAGCACCAAGCAGCGTACCTTGATTTCGAGCAGGCTGCCGCCAAGGGTGATGCGTTGGTCGCGATCGCGTTTGGCGGACTTTTCCGAAGAGTCGATTGTCAACCTTGCGAGCTCAACATCCAGTGGTTCACTTCGCGCCATACTATGCACGGTCGCCTGGTGCAGCTTGTATGTTGGTTGGTGTCGGATATCCATCCTATGCTGAAACGCCTTAATTGCGTTTAGTAGTTTGATAGTATCCCTTGCGCGATTATTGATCTCGTCGTTGATGGACTGCATGGTGAACTCGTGAGCTTCCTGACCGCGGAGCTGGACTGGCTTATCGGGAACAACCGACATGCGCGACTTTTCGAGGTCCTTCCTGACTTCCATAAGCTGGCCTTCTAGTTGCTGCAAGTCTTGTTGACCGTTGACGATGAAGCGCTTGGACATCTCATCGATGAAAGCTCGGTTGATGAGCCGGTTGTAGCGCTGGGTGACATACTGCTTGACAGGCTCTCGACAATTCGGGCATTGCGGAATCGATGCGGAAAGCTCGGCGTCCTCAATCAATCCGGTGAAGGCGCCCGTCTTCGCATCGACGCTATACACGTCTTTGAGGCTGACTAGTCCGTCCAAAGTTTCGGTGGTGAAGAAGTGACCGCAACGAAGAACGACGATGGGCGATTCATTCAGATCGATTTCAGCATAACGAGACCCCAAGATCAAGTCTGGCTCTTCCTTCGGCTTCATGCCACACTCTTGACAATACTCGACTGGACATGCTTCACCGCAGATGCTTGGACACTGATGACCGCACGGGAGAAGCTTGGTGCATCGCTCGTCGCATGGTAAGCGGCTACACGGGGCCGAGCAAGGCATTTTGCAATCGCCTTGATGCTCGCAGGACCATGTGCAAGGCTCAACACACGGAGCACAGGGCTCGTGACACCTCTGTGGACACTTGGTGTGTTTGCAACGTACCTTAATGAGATTAGAGAAGTGTCACAAAATTGATAGGCATCACTTACTTCGCAAGGCGCTTGACATAGACCGCAATCCGTACCATCGTGACATCGGCGACTGCAATCGTGATTACAGGTCCCATGCTTTCTGCCACAGGTCTTCCTGCAAGCAGCGTGCTTGACCACTGGTTGATCGTACATATCCTTGGTATTGCATTGAGCGCAGGTCCCGGGGCATGGATGACCACACGACAGAGGTGTGTTGCACAGTGTAGGGCACTTGAAGTCTTTCTTAGAGACATCTACCGAGCACTTCAAGACTACATCGTGCTCGCAGCCAGGTACACGCTTCGAGATCTTGACGTCGCAGGGTATGCGAGCAGGATTCTGGGTGAGATGGCAGGCGACGCCGTGCTTGACATGACCACATGGAAGCTGTACGTGGTCCATCAAGATCATACACTTCCCACAAGGCTCTCCACATGTAGCCTTCTGGCATGCATGATCGCACGGCTGGTGCCGGCGCTGGCACGGCTGCTCGCAAAGGAAAACCTCATGCATGGCTTCCGAGTGGCATCGGGCCCCACATTGATGGCCGCAGTCGAGGCGATCGGCGCACGCTTCCCTACAGCCACCTTCTGGACTCAGCTTATGAAAGTCTTCGGGTTGCTGCACTTGAGCGTCGGTATCAGGGTGTCGAGGGCACCGCAACGCCAGTGTCTTCCCAACTGATTCGGTCGCACGTAGCATTCCGATAACCTTCTGCCACATCTCGACGCTAGAGTAGGTGTCTGCATTACCGATGAGATACATGCCATGTTGAGCGCGACTGAGCAAGACGTTGATACGGTTGGTCGTCTTGAGAAAGCCGACATTCTGTCTATCATTGCTTCGTACAAGAGAGACAATGATGATCTTGGCCTCTTCTCCTTGGAAGTTGTCGACAGTAGCGACTCTCAGTAACTCCGACAATTGCTTCTTCTCCAGCGGCTTCCCTTGATAGCTTTCGTGGGCGTGTATTGCGGTCTTCGATGTATCGTCATCTTCTACTGCGAAACCGTCCCTCTCAAGCGCTTCTCGATCGCGATCACTGAGGCAGATCTCAAAATCGCCACTCATAGCGCCGCGGAGCTTTTGAAGCTGACCAGTGTATGGGGTCAGGACTGCGATATCATCAGGCTTGTAGACGCCCTGCCGAACGATATGCCGGACCAAAGCATGCACCATCTTGACTTCCCATAAGTTGGACTTGGACTTTGTATCGTGTGTATCTGCACCCTTCTCGTTTTCGAAGTTGATGTGGTCGAGCCAGAAGACGTTGCGGCGCATGCCAACAACATCCGGCAGCTCAACGGTAGATGCATGGTCCTTTAGCTTATCGTAGATGGTTTCACGAATCAGCGAAGAGATTTGCGGGCGCATTCGACGTTGTACGTTCAGTTGAGCAACAGGCATCAGAGGCCGCCCGGGCTCACCGATCGAGAGTCGCTCGAACTGACTCCTGTCGAGCGCATGAAGCTTTCCTCTCTCGCTCTCAAGCGACAAGTCGCGGAAGTTGCTGACAGAGGGCCGAAGCTGCTCGTGATCACCAATCTGAATGAGATGCTCAACATCGGGAAGCATCGCCGAGATCATGTGACTCTCCATCACCTCTCCAGCCTCCTCACAGATGATGACTTTACACCTCACCTGCTGTAACAGCGAGATGCGCTTTGCCAAGCCAGACGTGGTGACTCCAATGACGTCAGCTCCTTCTAGTAGTCGTCGGTTCAACTCTTCATGGATATTGGAGAGTTGACGTTGGGTCTTGGCGGCGCCGTTCACGATTTCGTAAAGCTCGCTGACCTTGTTCCCTTGGGCTTCGGCGACCCAGGCGGCGACAAGAGCGCTCTTCTCAACAGGTGTCAAAGAAAACACGTTCGTGGTCGCCTGGCGAATGATTCGCTGTAATGCGCCTTGAGGTAATAAAGATTGGCCATATGCCTCAGTACCGGCGATCCATACATCGAATGGATGGCGGCCGGCTGTCTTGAAGCCCTCGCCATCGACGGAACGGAATTGATTGTAGATCTTCGGGTATTCTTCATGGATATGGCCTTTGAGCTTATGCCAATCCGGACGCTTTGATAAGCCATGAAGACCACCAAAGAGCATCTTGGCCTCCTTCTCATTCTGATCCAGATCCTTGTAGTTCATCGCCGCCATATACTTCTCAGACTTGGTCTTCTTCTCCGATTCACCGACGGTGCGCAGATTGTGGTTAAGAAGCTTCTTGGACTTGCTCATACCACCGACACGGATGAGCTTGTGGACGCCGATGTCGATTAGGTGTTCGAGAAACTGATCCAAGGCATGGTTCGTATAGCATACGATGAGTATAGGTCCGAGATCGCGACTTTTCTTGATTTCCAGTAGTATCCGCATGATCTGAAGGCCCAGAAAGCTCTTTCCTGTCCCTGGGGGCCCTTGGATGAAGGCAAACTCTCGTGTCAGCGCAGCAATCAGCGCGCGACACTGCCCACGATCAAGTTGCGTCTTGGCTTCCAGCTTGTTAAGTAGGGCCTGATCGTCACATGATGCTGTCGGCTCGATGGAGAACGAGTCCTCTTTGTCACCTTCTTTCAGAAGAGCGGCGACGGGGAACTTGAAGCCAGAGGCACGCGCGTATAGAGGCGGAGGAATTTTGTGAGTCCTACTTGTCGATATACGGTCATTGTATTTGTCGGGAACGATCCACTGCCGAAACGGTAGACGATTGAGTCGCTGCATGGCTTGCAGACTCTCCAAAGTGGGCGAAAAGGTCGCGGGCATGACTTTGGGAAACTCCAGTAGGATGCCGCGGACTGCTCCGATGTTGGCCTGCATTAGCATCTTTACGGTCGCTCGATCTTGTGTTACCAGGCTAGCCGTCATGTATGCCTTTTGATTGTGGTGTGTCAAGCTATACTCCTTTGTCGGATCAGTGTCCTTGAATGAGACAGTAAGGAAGATGTGTTGGACGACAGTGTCCTGGATCCATATGAAGGACAATAGCGACCCTTCGTCGAATCGCCTTGACTCCTCCCACCAATTCACCTTCTGGGCAACACTCTTCTTACGGACTATCGCAGGCTGCAAAAATTCCATCTGAGCTTGCAACCCCATTCGCTTGTCGAGCGTGACGTAGCTGACGCGGGCGCTGGTGTACTGATTGGCGCGCATATCGCCTAGATTGAGATTGGGGTGGAGCAACGTGTTGGCGTCTTGCGATACAGCATGCATGATTCCAGCCAATGACCCCTTCAGCTCACCGAAGATATCGTAGCGCAACAAGCGAAAGTAAGTATCAATGTAGCGTTGCACGCGATCTTCAAGGAAGTGTGGCTGGTCGGGATCGGTATAGGGCAGGAATTCCTTCGCATCGCTTACGATCTCATCCCGGGTCGGGAAGATTACCATGTCGCCAATATCCTTCTTGTCGTTGTCAAAGCGGTCTGAGGGGACTACAAGGTCTCTCGGGTAGAACGACGCAGGGTTGAGAGCATCGTTGTCGTCTTCAACCCCATTTTCACCAGTGGGTTCAGCGAGGAGGCCGTGAGCTCTAGCTACCAGAGCTCGAATATCATCGAGGCGATTGCTTGTCCGTGTTGAGATGTCTGGCGATACCAAGTCCTTGTAGAGGTCGCTCACAGCCTGGATAGAGTCTACCAGCGGTGTGACCTCATCGTTGAACCGAGCTCTACGCTCACGTCTCAATAGCTCGAAGAAAGCCGTCGCCATCGCATGAAGCGTCGTTTCGTGGTCCTTGGCAGATGTCGAGGATGTTCGAGCTGCCACCAGAGCCCTGCAAACCCGCTGGAGATATGAGACTGCAGTCCGCCCACCGACACCGCCAAAAAGATTGTAGATGGAACCGACGTGCGTATCGACCGCAAGACATCGAAGGAGCGAGGAATGCGTCAGCGTGAGGAGGAAATGGCGGGCGTTAGCGAGGAACGTATCGTAGTCCGAGCCGACAACCTTGGAGTGGAGAATGGCGAGAATGTGACGATGACCACTCTCGTCGTCCGAGTCATCGTTAAGATCCTGTGGGAGCTGTTGGCGCCAATCTCGGTCTCCAGCTTCAAGTATACCGTAGGCGCCTTCCCAAAGACGTCGCATGGTGGTTGGATCAGTCTCTGCCTCACCAAGGCGGCGCTTCCATGAGCTGTACGACTTTCGTGCCTCCCTCTGCTCTTCCGTCTCTTTGACTCTGGCAGGCTTCGATGCATGCTGTGAGGTTCCGTCGCGCCTGCCTTGATTGAAACCACCACGACCGCGACCGCGATCTCCGCCTCTGCCACCTCTTCCACCACGGCCGCCTCGTGGGTTACGTCCGCCGCCGCGTCCAGACATCGTAAATTGGTTCAGGCGTGGGTCTGAGCGAGATTTGCGAAGATGTGTCGCTGTTAGGGTTGTGTTGGCGACAATTCCTGCTAGGAAGGAGCAACTGTGTATCATCTGTGCGGACGCTAGCCGCCAAAAAAGCTGCGTGGTGAGAGGTGAAGGTGAGATCTCGATTGTTCTTATCAAAGCGGTGGAATAGCGGGGCACCAGTCAAGGACGAACAAACACGCGTGCATACTGCACCTGCATGCGGGTACCTACATCAGCCAATACGAGCGTGTCAGTATTCCAGCCTTGCAGCATGTCCAGGCAGATACTGCAAACTGACGCAACGATAATCATGAATGGAAGGAGCAAGCAAGAATGAACCGTGAAGAAACCAATCAAAGAGAACGGAAAAGAAACATGAAATCAAATGCATCCATAAACTCCACCATGGTGGTACTGGTATACTCACAAGAACGCCAGCTATGCAACACCTCCCCACACTATCTCTTCTCATGCCCACGTTACTTCGTCCCAACATCCGGAAACAGAACCTGCACCATCTCGTCCAGAAGCGTAAACGCAATATGCGTACTGCATCCTCGTTAGCATCATCCATCTAAGAACCATTCCGTGAACTTACTTCAACCGGGTATTATTAATAGTCCCCTCAATCTTCTTTGCTGCCAACTGCGCATTCTGCCTTCCAACAACACTACTCGCCAACTCCGGCACAAGGGTGCTCAGAACCTCGCTTGCCGCCTTCCTACTGTTCTCTTTGTCTTTGCTGGTTCGTTCGATACCGACTTTCATCCTGCCGTTGGGCCACATACTGTCCTTCAGCGTGTCGATGTACTTGACGATATTGTTCTCTGAAAGCAGGTTATCAAAGGACTCGCGGACTTTGCGTTCAATAGTGCCACCGAGGAGTTGATGGAGGACTACGACAACAGCACGCCCTCGGAGCCAGTTGTTCTCACGATTCAGCTCAAATGTTTCGAGGAAGATATCGCAGATTGGTTTGACGAAGGGCTCGAGCTCTTTGTTTTCGAAGGCGAGGAGTTCGGCTTCTGCTTCTGCGTCGTTGTTGGGCTCGCCGGCAACGAGAACACCGGAGGATGAAAGGTTACCGGGTTGGGCAGTTGCACCGTTTGTGTTGGCAAGCTGAGTGGTTGCCGCTGATATGAGATTTTGGCCTGCGACGGACAGTTGATCGAGCACTGGTATGTTACCCAGGAACTCTTCCATACCATCGGCAACTGAGTTGTAGATGCGAGTTACGAAGTCGTTGGAGTTTGGATCCTGGTTTCGCAGGGCATCGGCGGGGCTGATCGCAGCTTGCGAGAGGAAGGCGCGTAGTTCGCGGCTGCGACATACAGCTGGGATGAGTAGAAGTTCCCTTAAGTACTTCTCAAGCCCAAGCCTTCTCTTGTGCAGGAAGTCTTTTTGAAGTTTCAGCATCATCTGCCGGCGCGGGAACTCCAGATTTCGTACTTGTGGAAAATTGGCGCGGAGTCGTTTGTTTAGTTCGTGGAACTCGCTGTATCGTCGTGAGACAACCCAAGTAGCGGCAGGCATCTGGTCGCCAGCACGTCGTCGTACTTCGATGACGTACATAGCATACTCCTTGCCGTCTTCCTCTGTGCCGACCATAATCGATTGAATGAACACAGTCGCGCGTCCGTACAAGCTGTTGTCGCTTTCTTGAACGATGTACTGCTGACGCTGTAACTCTTTTCTCTGTATCTCCCGCTGAAGGCTGGCTTTCGATTTTCGCAAGATCCTCAGTTCTGCAGCGTTGTTTGTCAACTCAGCTTTCGATGTAAGCGAGTCGACGATAGACTCTTGGGATACCAGGCGCTCAATATCAGCAGTAAGCGCATCGATAGCCTCGGCGAGCCCCAGGTCTCCAGGCGCCGCCTCGTGGATCTCTTCCTCCTCTGCTTTGCCCCTCGGGACTGGGTCATCGATCTCGTCCTCCATGAACCTTTCTTCATCGCCAAACAGGTCATCATCAAATACACCGCGCGTTCTGGGCTCCCCAACTAAGCCAAGGGACGCTATGCTTGGCTTGAGACTATCTTTGCTTTGCTGCAATTGTGCTTGTGGGGCTGGGGATGACGCTCGTGGTAGATCGACGGATCCTCGCATGGAAACACTGTCTAGTGGCGATTTCAGACCCGGCTCGTAGAATATTGAACCCTCAGGCTCGTCCATAATGTCGATGATGGCAGCCTGCATAGCATCGACGACCTGCGTATTGTTGCCATTGGAGCGGTCATGACCAAAGTCTGAGTTGAGGCTTGCGGTCGAGTGTGCAAGAGGATCTGAGTCGTAGTCCTCGTCGAAGAGAGGTGCGCGTGCAGATGATGACCTGTGTACATCCAAAGAACGTCGTGCAGGTGGCTCGGCGTTTTTGACGGCTCCTTGGCTTTTGAGATCTGATGACGATGCGACAGCTCGACGCAAGTCTCCTTGTGGTATCTGCAATGCGCTCTTCTGCCTAGACGAGGTGCGAATCATAGCAGGTGCCGCCGTAGACGAATTGTCGAGTGTTTGCGCTACAGTTCTTGTATTCACACTGCTGTTCTGCGCGTTCGCTGCCTCGTCCATGGCTAGCCATTTGTAATACAAGTTGGACTTCTTGAACCTTCGGAAGTAGGGTTCCTGCAATTGTTCGTACGCCGCCGTCTGAGCTTGTAGCAAAGAACGTCGCGCATTATGATACTGCTGCGGAGTCGCCTTCCGCCCGGCTTTGAGAAACTCAGAGACCGCTTGTCGAGCTTCGGGAAGTATCTTCAACTCCGGGTTCGACAAATATCCGTCGTAGATCTGCGCCAGGTCTGCACGGTCAGACTCTGTCCATGCAGGAAGAGAGCCTATATAGTCCGGCGCTTCTTCAGTCTCTACTTCCAGTGGATTGCGAAAACCGTCCACCACAATCCAAAACTGCACCAGCCGCATCAGGTCCGCCTGGTCCATGAACTCCATGAAGCAAGACAGTCCTGAGGCATCGTACAGCACTTCACGCAGAGACGCATTTGCGAACTTGGACGAAGTACGCTTGTGCTTCGGCTTCTCCTGTGCAGCAACCTTTGCCCGCACCGAGCCACCAGCACTGAGGTTGGTGACCTTTGTATCCAAGATTTGTCGCGCTGTTTCCAGGCGCCGCAGATAGACAGGGTCTTGATCTTCTACCGTGGAATCCTTCCGCAGTTGACTTGACACTTCGCTGCGAAATCGTCTAGCATCTGCAAGAGTATTGGTCTGCCTAATGGCTCGTATGAAACGTTCGAACCGTCGTTCGTTATCGCCGGGCGCAAGCTTCGGAAACTGGACGTTCTTAGGGTTCTTCGGTGAGGGCGGAGCATGTTCATCGAGAGCAGCTCGAATCTTGCGGACAGTTTTCCTTTCCTGTATCAACGATCGTCCCTGACTAGATTAGCGACGGTTTACTATGAGCGGGGATTTTCTTACATATCCCTCCATAAGCTGGTTCCATGTGTCTGGGTCAGCGAGCATCTGCATCACAGGAGAGAGGACTGCGCAGGCCACAAGCTCTTTGATCAGTACATTGACAGCGGGACTGGTTGACATGTTCGCAGGCATAATCTTTGGCAGTAGTCGCGTGACGATGCTTCGTAGATGTTGCTGCTGTATAGGCTTGGTATTCGAGTATGCCAACGACGCCGCCGGGTGCAACCGGCCCTCCTTGTATTTGGCTGCGATGGCCAGATCAAGCTCCTCAGAATCTGTGATGTTCCGCGACAGCTTGCGTCCGCGGACTATGCGCTCTGCCTCGTATGACGCCCGCAAGTGATCGGTGATAAGAGGTATCATGCGCGATACGACTGTCTCGACCATATCTACTGCCAGTATGCGTTCCCGAATCTCGCCCATTGCAGCCCGTATCGCATTGTCCACCTCGTTGACAAATGTTGGGCTTTTGCTGATACTGCCATACCAGCTCTTCACGAAGTCGCGCAGTATCAGCCCAATGAGCACGTCGATGCTGTCTGATATCATGAAGGACGCGGGGTATAGCGGCTCCATCATGTACATGTTCCTCATGTCCAAAGCCTCCCGCTCAGCCTTCCACCTGCCCGGCGCAACGAAGGCGACGTGGCGCGGTCCATAGTCAACCTTTCCTCCGCTTCGTAGGTCTGTGTCCCAGGCGATCGTGAAGGTGAGCCATGCTCCCAGGGCAAGCGTCGCGAGTACTCCGGCGAAGAAGGCGTAGGGCAGGTAGTGCAGCTTGGGCTGCCAATGGGTCAGGTACCCCCAGGCGATGAAGACGGCGATAGCGGCGAAGACCAGATCTCTGCGCTTCACGGGGGCCATAATCGTGCGGGTGGCGCCCGTTTCTGCATCTTGAGCGGGATGGCTGAGGGTGCGGGAGGCTTGGTGTTCTTTGGACAACCCACTTTCGAGCTTAGACCACTGCTGACGTCGACCCGCGTATATCGTATCCAGCGAGTATACGAACGTTAGTATCTTGTTCGACAGCCTCACAATAAACTCAACAAGTGTAGAACATAGGAAGCACCTGATGAAGCTTCTGTATTGCGCTAGGTTTGTGAGCGCTATCAACCCCCGTGGAAATGACTGCGCTCCTCCTACTTGGTATAACCTCCTATGCAGATAATGCCATGATCCCAATAGTTTACATTCATGACGCCGTTCCAACTCCGGTACTATGCAAAAGCTTTCTCGTCTGGCCCAATCACATCCATCTAGAATTTCCGTCGTCCAAGTGTCGGCTTCCAGTCGAGCGGGTGTGTCTCTTCCGTGGCGTTCTCATCCTGCTTCCAAATCTTGATAGACTTGTCCGACTCTCCAGTGATGAGACGCAGGCCGGTTTTGTCGAATGTCGAGCACATGACACCTGCTTCAGCTTCGAGAGAACCCGGCTGTGCGATACTTTCGCCATGCTGGAACCGATGGCCTGTCTTCCAGTCGTAGAACGAGGCTTCGCCGTTGTCGCTACCGGCGAACATGATGTTATCCTCATTTACAGAGAGTGTGTTGATGATGCTGTTGACCGGCGAGAAGTTCTGCATGAAATCGCCGTTCGGGCATAGCCATTGTTTCGCCGATTGCGCCGATCCAGATGCAAATGTAAACTCTGTGGGATGTGTGGCAAGAGAGCGAACCGACTTCTTGTGATGTGTGAGAACCGTACGAGTCTTTCCGGCGACCAGGTCCCAGAGTCGTATTGTGCTGTCCATGCTTCCAGACAAGACTTGGGGCTCGGCTTCTTGACATTGGATCGAAGAAATTGTTCCCTTGTGGCCCCCGAGAACATGAATATTGCTGCGCGATCGCATGTCCCAAACACGGACTACACCATCTCGTCCTCCTGTGCAGAGCACATCGACGGTCGGATGAAGCGAAAGCGAGTAGACTCCGCTCAAGTGGCCGTGGTAATGTCGAATGACTTTGTTGGTCTCGAGATCCCAGCATTTGACCATCTTGTCTTCTCCGCAAGAGAAGAGATACGGATGCCTTGGGCTCACTGCAAGTCCTCTGACTGCCGAGATGTGTCCTGTCAAGGTGATCTTTAGTTGACCGCTGGCCAGATCCCAAAGCTTGATCGTCCTGTCCGCGGCACCGGTCGCAAACCATTGGTTTCCAGGCTCCATCGCCACCGATCGCACCTATACGTAGTCAGCCGCTGTCGCTCTCCTGTATGATACTATCGCATAACTTACCCATCCCATGTGTCCGCTGATAACCGTCTTGACCTTCCACGGCGCATGCCAGTCGGGCTTCGCTTGACGAACCACGTCCTTCCTGACCAACGCGCTGGACGTCTGATCTCTGCTTGGCGTAGGTCCATGAGCGTTTGGTGCAGCGCCCTTGCCTCCCGCTCTCACTGCCAACTGCATCGACTGCGCGTCACGCGCTTTGTCCGCCTTTTCTGAGACACCATCAATCATCTTCTGCATCTTAGGATCCGAGGCCTTCTCTTCAGCGTTCTGTGCCTTGATCTTCTTCCGTCGCTCGGCCGCTGTAGATGCTGCGCTGGCCATCTTCGCAGCTAGCGCGGGTGGTAGCTCGCGCACATGTTCATATTCGTTGCGAATGCGCGATGCGACGCTGGCCTGGTCTGCGGCAGCTGAGGGCGCTGGTGTGGTTGGGTGTATCGAGAAGCTGCCGTTTGAAGCGTGATCTAGCGCCGCTGATGACGCGAAATCGGCGGCAAATATCTCGCGTGTCCGCTTCGAAGAAGATCGAATGAGCTGTTCTGCCGTGCTGAGAGGTCGCGACGCTGCGGTTTCGGCCATGTTGGCGACGTGATGTGGAGGAGGTGAGGAGTACTGCATCAATGTTAGCTGCGGCTTTTCGCGACTGAGGCGACAGTAATAGAAGAGACTCACGTGTTGACGTATGTGGTGATACTGAGGGTCAACTGCTAGTCGTCGACTCTCCATCGCGAAGTTTCACTAGCGCGCCTTCCTCAGTAAGCCGAGCTAAGCCCGACTATCTTATCTGATTGATCCCGTTCACTGCCCGCTCTGCACTCACCACCACATCAACTTACACACAATCGTTTGCCATGTCTAGCACTCAGTGTGATCGCTCGTTTCCCATACTCTGTGCGCAGTTATACTTGTTACTGTGTTTCGATGTCCCGCTCCTGCCATTCTGCGGGAATGTCCAGCACGCTTGTTGGTTTCTAGCATGCAGCCGGCTCCGTATTGAGAAAGACTACAGTACTGAGATTGTTCTGTCTCAAACACGACACATATTATTGCTGAGCTTTCTCCAGGCTTGAAATTACTCTCGTTAATTTTGCACGGACCATCAATGACGCCTGGCTTCAAGCAGCACCGCATTCTTTGATACCAAGCGTACACTGATGCGAGCATCTTGTCATACTACTGACAGCTAACAGTAATAACCATGCGACTTTAGCCTCCAAAGTACTCTGGCAAGCCGTTCAACATTGTTGCATACAAGCAGCAGTAAACCAACACGAAGTATCCAACCCGAGCTATCCACAAAAGGCTTCATCGGGCCCGCGCACGAAAGCTGAACGAAGTCGACAAGATTTGATACCACAGTGTTGCTTTCAACTACAGCGTACTTCATCTTCCAGAGATCTGGCTTGAGCATCTCAACAAGCCTTGGAAGCAAAGAATCCAGGCTTCGAGTAAACGATGTTGATCTATGGCGATTGGATGGAAGGTCCAATGCACAAATCCCAAGCGGAGGAGCCGACTGGTCTTACTCCGCAGTAGGGAACCCAGGACGCAATGCTGGGAGCTCAATGGGGTTACATGACCGGTAATTTGTACGTAAGAGCCCTCATCTGGTTATTCACATGGGTACCAACTTCGGATCGTCCAATACTCGTCGTGGCTAGACGATCCAATGCCCAACGCTCGCGTGCACACATCAGAATGTGCGGGACATGCAGGGGATACGAGTGAGCCTCTCCTTCGTACAGGATGGCACTGTAATATTGCGCCGCAAAGCTCGCATGTCAGATGCTGTCAGCACCGCGCACATGTTTCCTGCATCGCGACCGCGTTTATGACTGCGCAAAACTGTCGCGAACCTGTGGATACGGAAAATCCAGCGGTCACGGCGACGATGCTTGTTTCCCCAGATCTTCCGGGTTCTCCGCTTCATAGCTCCAGGATTGCGCAAAAGCAGCTGAACGGCGCGCGGTCAAGCACATGCTGCCGAGGAAGTTGAATGGAGAGCCAGACCGAGTCGTCAGATCCTTCCAGAGGAGGAAAGCCACCTCCGCACGGAATGACGCAGGAACGGTTAAACCCTTGCACTTCAACAACAGGGTCGTATTGGCGGCACACCCACTACAAAGTAACTCAAGAGAAAGTGTCCAGTGCCTAGAAGTAGGTATTTCGTGTCTTGAGAATAGGAGTACACAAGCATATTTCTTACAGCCGCCTAGACACACGAATGCAGGTACAACAAGGCCGCCAGTCTTACGCCATGCCACCGTCTTTTTGCCAGGAATTTCGCAGACAGCGGTGGACGTTCGGATGGCGCATCCGTTCGGCGGGTTAGCCATGTTCCTGCGCGACCGAGCTTAGCCAAAGGGTGTAAGCATGGATTATCCCGGATGTTTGGCCGAGAATGGTCGAGATGTCGCGGGGTTTGTAACACTGGATCCTGCGCCATGTATCGATTTCTGTGTCGCATTTACCCTTGCCGCCATCCAATGGCCACCCAGTCGGACTGGAGATGAAAACTTTGACGATTGAAGATCTGCGCAAAGCGACGATGCACATAGTGGTTGGTTTTGCCTCGTTGCGTGGCTTCACAGCCTCAGGGCTGCCCCGGATCTTCTCGCTTCGCACTAGTCCCGGAAGCGATTAGATGGGAACGGCCGCACCGTCACTGGCATCATGAGACCCAATCAGCAAAAGCTTCTAGTTTCTGCGGCATGGTTCTTGGCGCCTTGATCAATTCGATCCCTGTTCTATGCTGGAGCTCGCCGTCGCCCAACACCAATGCTCACCAATGATGTCCAATCGACGATCGGATGGCTTCTTACTCGGTTCAATAGCACTACATGCTCCTCGCAATTTCTACATGACACTCAAGAAGATGTAGAGAAAGTTACGCGGTACCATCTCCTTTCTTTCAATCTTCATGATTCACGACCATTCGCTGGCAAGGCGCGCCGCGCCTAGTTGTGTGGCAATAGACTCTGCCCTCACAAGTCCGGCCTCGACGAGCCGCAGCTAGCGATGCGTAGTCTGGGGTAGTGTCATCACGCGCTACCACATCGAGCAATACCTCCAGGGGCTGCTTGAAGATCTCGAACGGGGGCGAACAACACGCCCAGTGTGGAGCCACTTGGGTGCTAGCTTGTTTCTCACCTGGACACGGGTGGCCTACGGTTCCGCTTGATATAAAGAGCTTATGGAAACCTCCTGTTCGAATTCCTGCAAGCTTCAACTGTCGTTATACATACATCAAAGAACTTTCACTACACCGATCACCGTATCAACACCAAGACAACCGTCAAAATGAAGACCTTCACCATCGCTGCCTTCGCCGCTCTGGCCTCCGTTGGCTCTGCCCAGCTCAGCAACATCCCATCTTGCGCCGTATGTAAATCCATGATAAGCTTTTCACGCATCACAAACTAACACCTTCCAGCTTCAATGCTTCCTCGCTCCCCTCCAGAGCGACGGCTGCTCCTCCCTCACCGACTTCGAGTGCCACTGCAAGAAGGGTGCTGAGCTCCTCGGCAAGGTCCAGCCTTGCGTCCAGGGTGCCTGTGAGCAGGACGACCAGGCCAAGGCCATCTCCGCCGTTCAGGACACTTGCAAGGCTGCTGGTGTTCCCATCAACATCCCCGGTGCCAGCGCTGCTCCCTCCATGGCCAGCTCTGCTGTCGCCAGCGCCACATCCGCTGCCGCCTCCATGGCATCTTCTGCCGCTGCCTCCGCCTCCTCCATGGCTTCCTCCGTCATGTCTGAGGCCTCCTCCGCTGTCGAGTCCGCCGCTTCCTCCATGGCCTCCGAGATGTCCTCCGCCATGATGACCGGTACCCCTACTGCCAGCGAGAGCATGATGAGCATGACTCCCTCTGCTTCCATGTCCGAGTTCACCGGTGCCGCTGCCCAGGCTACCCAGGCTGTCGGTATCCTCGGTGCCGCCGCCCTTGTCATGCTCGCTTTGTAGATACCCTCAAGCCCTTAGTGGCAAGCATGAACGGATTGACTGGTTAGTCATGGTCAGGATGTAATGGAATCACGTTGGGATGGATGGATCGAATCTTGTATTACCACCTAAAACAGATAATGCGATACCTAATATTTCGAACTTGATCCCTTTCTCTTAAATCATCATATTGTGTCACTCTCTAAGCCTGCTACATTTCCCACACCGTTGCCTCGCTGCTCACTTGCAGTGTTTGTAACGCGTCAGAATCTCCCGGTGGCTGTTTGCATTCGGTCGCACTGGAGCTGAAAAGTTGCCCAGTGACGTCAGAGTAAGCACCATCGTGTTGCCGAAATGAGAACACAAGGGTTATCATGCCTTCGTTCGGATTGAAGCTACCCGCACTTCTAGTGTATACAGACGCTACGCATGTGTATTGCACTCTTTTTATGCAAATTATCACGATGCCCTTTTACCGATTCACCGCAGTGGAAGCGACGGAGGCGCTCTCGTACTGCTATTCTCTTGTGTAATTACCGTAGACGGCCCTTACTCTTAGCTCCGCTCTTGTAGACGTTATTGTGTCGTTTGCCTGATTCAATTCAATTGAACACGCTTGGTATTTGTTGATCACATTACAATCGATCTCATATACATCAAGAAAGCTTGGAGACTCGACGGACGCTGCGGAAAATCCGATATCTGCCCAGTTGTTCGGAAATATAATTGTTGCTGGACAAGGTTGCTCTGGAGCTCTTCCCATTGCAACTCTGTGACAGGTAGCTAGCCACTTACTTGTATCGTGCGAGGTATACTGCTGGAAGAGAACAAGCCCCTCAACATTTAAGCAACTGTTCGCGATACCCAGCTGCGTCATCTCACCGGTGACCAAATACTCAGCTTGAGTGACAACGCCATCAGTTGCGCAAAGCAAGACCATAAAACTTTGGTCCCAGACCTGCCCTTACTCGATCGAAATATTCATGATCCTGAAAAAGGAAAACTACCCCAGCGGAAGTCTAGATCGCGTGCATGCTGCAGGCGCGATGTTAGTAAGCGTTGTAAAGGGTGACAACTCGCTGCAGCAGACAAGGCAACCACACACGATTAATTTGTGACGTCAATTCCTGCCTACCCAGATAGCTAAAAGGGCGCTGTCGTGCTTTGAGATGTAAAAGAGGGGTCATCGTAAACTAGAGAGCGGACGAGCGTACCTAGGTAGTAGCAACGTCGCCAACTTCAACATTAGCAACCCTTCCTAAACAATCATCATGGCCCCAGAACCCGACCCATACACGATATCAGTCCCCGACTCCGCAATCGAAAAGCTTAAACGCAAGCTATCAGATGCCGACTTCCCTGATGAATTAGACACGCCCGATCAATGGCCCTACGGCTCACCCCTCTCCGACATCAAGCGACTAGCAAAACACTGGAAAACCAACTTTTCATGGCGAAACGCCGAATCCAAAATGAACGAGCTACCCAACTACCGCAAAAAAGTCCAAGTCGACGGTTTCGGCCAAATCGACATACACTTCGTCCACAAGAGGAGTTCAAACCCCAACGCCATACCCCTCCTCTTCAGCCACGGCTGGCCAGGCTCCTTCCTCGAAGTAACAAAACTACTTCCGCTTCT